ATTTTTTTTTTTTTAAGCATTTCACCCCAAGCAGGGCAGAAATGCCACTAGCACGCAAGGGGTTACAGAGAGTGGGATCAAGAGTAAAGAGGTGTGATAGAGGAAAGGATGAAGAGGACGACGAGGAATAGATCAAGGCATCTGGAGATGTCAATTGACATTGCATTTGAATATTTGGGAATTCAAATGCATACTTAGAATCAGAAAAAGACAACTGAAATTTCTAGGGCAAATAATGAGGAAAGAGGGCTTGGAGAATTTGACACTCACATGATATATTGAAGGCAAGAAGGACAGAGTAAAGCAGCAAATAACTTACCTAATGAGTTTGTGTTGGTGGTTGGCAAAACAGGGATTAGAAGGAGATAGCAAAAAGACAAAACTTACTAAGAGCTACAAAGGACAGGAAGTTATGGCGAGCCATGTTTGCCCCCACATCCTGAAGGGATACGGCACATAGAAGAAGAAGAATCTTTCAAATCTGACTTATAGCATTTTTTATATTAATCAGTAGTGCTTGTGAAGAAAAATTTTAAAAATTAAGATTTGGTAAAAAAACAAATTTGATTCAAATTATAACGGACAGTCTTGGAATATAAATTAATTAATTTCAAACAAAATAAAAACCCTTTTGCAATCTTTAACCTTCATGCCTGCAAAAAGAAAAACAGTGTGTCGAAAAAATGTTTTTTTTCCTTAACACTGCTATTATTTTAACTACATTCACTGCTCAGCAATGTTTATTGTTTTAAAAAGTGATGAAATGAATGAAAGTGATATAGTAAATTGTAATAAAACATAAACATATGAAAGTGAATTTATACATTTTCTTTGTTTTGAGAATTTAGGCTCATTGTTATCCTGAATGGCCACTTGTCGACATCAATTTGTACTAACACAAGTGACCCCCAGGGCTCCATCTTTGGTCCTACTCTGTTTTAAATTTTCATTAATGACCTTCCTGATGACACCAGGTCTCAGCTTGGTATCTACACTGAAGACACAACCATTCACTCCTGCCTCGATAGTAAGGCTGACCAGTCTGACAAGGTCAAAATGGCAGTCAATGTCCAAAATTACCTCAAGTCTGTCTAGCGTAAAAGATGGCTTGTTAATTTTAACATTTCCAAAACTAAACTTCTCTCCATTAATCATTTGAGAAACCACTCACTGCCTTCCATCATTATGGCTGATGCTGTCCTCCAGGAAAGTGACTCATTGCACCCCACAAATAATAATCAAGGGGTGATGTGGTTGACAGCCAAGACTGGGGAATGGTGCAGAGTCCTGTTGCCAGACATAGAGTCTTCCAGAAGCCATATTCTTGGCCCAGGGCAGCACAACCTTCTTAAGGCACTTGACGTAGGTCTCCACATAGAGTCTGAGGTCCTCAACTACATAATCAGGAGTTCTTTTCTTATCAAAATGACCAGAGTAAGTTTTCTGAGCTGCTGTATCATCATAATCAACATTAGACTCATCCAACTCATTCCAAATTCTATGCACTGTAATCTGATTGACACCCAAACACTTTGAAATGTTTGTATTGGAGCTTCCAATGTGAATGCCAAGCAGTACAGCATACCATTTCCAAATTTCTGACACAGTGAATTAAGTCATGGTGCTCTTTTTCTCACAGCTGGTTCCTAAATGACACTAATATATTCTGCAGTCAACAATATAAAAAACATCAATGCACATGCATGAAATTAAAAATATCAAATGGCAACAATTTCCCCATTGCACCCTGTACTTACCTTAACTCCTGCACCAAAAGGCAAATAGACATACTCGAAAGACATTGAGAACTTTTGTTTCACTACAGTCATTATAAAAAGAGAATAAATGGTCTGTGGCTGAAACTCAAGTTTTTGCATGTTTCTACCATCTTTATCATATTGAGCACACACCTTCAACTAAAATGCACACAAATATGCAACCCGTTTACTTTCATAAGTTTTTATAAAGCAATCATTTTAATTTTCTAGATGCTGTAACTTCTAAATAATTTCATAAACTGAAAATGATATCAATTTGACAAACTTTATTTGGATTGTTTTATTGTTAGAATGTACTAGCAGCCATACCCAGCTGGTCGATCTGAAAAAGCGTTCAATTAGAATGGAGCAAAAACAGCATCATGTTTAGATATAACAAATTCTATCTTCTTCAATTACTTTAAAGTACTTTCATTAAAAAACATTTTGAATTAATGCAGTTACTGATATAACAGAAGTAGTCTGTATTTATTCAATTGAAGTTAGCCGAGTACATGAAGGGGTAAAACAGGCAACATGAAGACCCACTTCAGACTACAATTATTTTGGAGTTTTTGAAATTCAATTTGTCAGTGTGCTACCAGGAATGTAAAAGAGGATACATTTATAAAGCAATTGTTAAGTTTGATGAAAATTGGTTGAAAGATCAATGAAAAATAAGAAAGAAACCAGTAAAAATCACCATTTTTCGCTATTTATATGGGGTTTCACTATATGGGTGGACTCAGTTAGCAAGTTAAATGACTGTTAAAGACATTATTTACATTATTCGGACTAATGTCCTCATCTTTGTTGCCATATTTATCACAACGTTTCGGTCGTTATACGCTCCGGCCTTCTTCTGGTTGGAATTTTTAACTGAACCCTTTATTTCCTCGAGGACACATGGCACAGTGGATAAAGGTGTTGGTTAGATCCAGTGACAGGACCCAAAGAGTGTGAGTTCAATACCCGGTTAAGGCAGTGGAGAACTTTCAGAGGGAAATTAGCAGGAGATAACTGATAACTGACATCCATCAAAAACATGGCACGTGGAACTAGAACAGTCTACCCTAGTAAGCGAAATAAAGGGTTCAGTTCGAAATTCCAACCAGAAGAAGGCCAGAGCATACAACAGCCGAAATGTTGTGATAAATATGGCGACAAGATGCTGACATTAGTCTGAATAATGTAAATAATACCCCATAAACAGACTGTTAAACAATCAACTTATTGTTGTCTACAATTGAGTGAAGTTTGTATTAGATTGCTAATAAGGATATCAATAAAATCATATTTACTTGAAGAAGGCCAAGTAAAGAAAAGAATGTTTTAGTTTGTGTTATTGTGCTTCATATAGATAACTTATTTAAGTTCTTAGAAATTTTTATAAAGCAGTGATTTTAATTTTCTGGGTGTTATAACTTCTAAATAGTTTCATGAACTGAAAATGATATCAATATGACAAACTCATATTTATTTAGATTATTTTATTGTTATAATGCTGATTATAAATAAAAATCAGTTTTTTTTCTACAGTTGTATTGGAATATATGCTAATTAGGAGCTGACCTAATTTTAATCCTCTGTCTTTTACAAGAACCAGATCAGTCCGACAATGGATTATTGCAACCATATCTGGGCTAGAGATGCCTAATCCTCACTTGCCTGTCTTGATAGAGTTGAAAAGCATTTATGTGGCTTTGTGGGTGATTAATTATTTTTTGCCCTACAACTTCTTTTTCATAGGTGAAACATTGCAAAGTTCTTGTTACTCTATTTCCATGTAATATCTTCTGACAAGCTACATCAATTGGTCCTATCAACTGTAAATTTTGCAACTGGGATCTGCCATATCACATACACAGCTCCTTAAGGGACATGTAAATTCATAATATTGGTTCTCTGAAATTTGGATCTTGCATGCTTTCGCGACCGTGAAAGAGTGAAACCCAGGATTACAAATTACTATCCATGCAACCGCATATTAACTTTATCATGGTTTTGAGCACTTTCCACTAAATACCACACATACACACACACACATATATATATATATATATATATATATATATATATATATATATGTAAGTAGTATGTATGTATATTTAAGCAGCAATCCCTCTTTTATACATGTTTTGTTAAAAATGACAGACAAGGTACTGTGATTAAGCTTTTTATTTAACTTTTCATGTGTTCATACAAGTATTTTCTTTTCTGGACACAAACTGTGTAAAAACTGTCTAAATATTCTGCATTTCTGAGTACTTTTGGCCATTAACAAGGATGATTTTATTTTTACTTTTTGACTGAATGTATGGTTGTGTGTATGTATCTAGAGTTATAGAGATGTTCTATTTTCCAAACATGGTCAGTACATTGTGGCCATGTTTGCAGTTAATGTTATTGAGTGTTGGCTTTTTCTTTTTTAGTATTAGGGCTTCCATTATTTCTAAACTTTTTAACACATTTTGTGTCCAGAAAAGAAAACACTTGTATGAACAGAAAAATTAAATAAAAAGCTTAATTGGAGTACTTTGTCAGTTGTCTTTAAGGAAACATATATATATATATATATATATATATATATATATATAAACTTACATATATGGCCTGATGATTGCATTTAGGGTGAAACAGACTGTTGCCTCTGCGTGTTGATTTCAATGTTCACTTTTATATATAACATACACTCTATCTCTGATATTGCGCACTTTATCTCAAAAATATACCATAACTTAAAACTAAAGTCATACTGAAAAACATATAACTGAGTCCTGCAGTGGACTGAGAATATGGCTGGTATGTGTGTACTTGTGTGAGTTTGTATACCAGTATCTATGAATATATATATACATGTAAGGTACATACACACACATCACTTCATATAAATCTGACCACAGTTATGTAAATTAACAGGTATTTAAACATTGAATAGTTTCAAAGTTCTTTTCAAGTCTATAAAGTCATTGCATATTTATTTTTTTTATTGTGGTATTTATGATAAGACTACATTTTTACATTTAAAATAAGACTATATTTATGATAAGACGACAATTTTTGCCCTATAAAGGCCTGGTCTTGATTTTGTGTACTGCCTTATTGTTCACACCTCCTTGGAATTTATATGAAACCATTTTAGATATCAGTGAAGCGAAAGTCTCTTTTGGTTTTGATCAATATGGTCACTGGACTTATTCTAATCATGATTTTCTTACAAGCTTTTCGTTAAAAAAAAAACCTTTAATGATGTCCCATTGAATGATCTCTTGTTCTGGAATAAAAAGAAAAGAAATTCATTATTTTTCTTGCTCAAGATGTGGAGAGTGGAAGAAAAGAATTTTGAAGATTACTTCGGATGGCAAACATCACTCGAAAAAGGTTGAAATGTGAGGGAAAAAAAATAGGACCTTCAACTAATAATTTATTTCTTACCTTCTCTCCTCGCACTTGCCAAGCTTCATGACACTACCCTCTTAGAAACTAGGATTCCCCTGTAGTCTCTATTAATATTTCATTCCAATCTTAAAACTTGCAAATGCTGTAGACTGAATAAATTTGCAGCAACTGTGTTGTAAACTATAATTAGCCAGAAGTAAGTATTCACTACTATTTCTCTAGTAGTTTCGTCTTCAAGGTCAGGATTAGTTTAGCTTCCAGCTGTATCAACTGCTTTTTATATGCATATGAATAAAACATTCTCCACCACTTTTTTTTTTTGTTTTTTGACAATGTAAATTTGGAATACTTTATTTTGATAAAAGAAAAGGAATATACTTTCAAAAAAAAAAAAAAAATTATCCAATTTAATTAATTTTTTTTTCTTTGTGTTTGATACTAAATCGTTTTAGGTTCTTAGAGAGGGGGCATTTTTGCTGTGTTTGGGTTAGGGAAGTTACAGGTTCCTGGTTCAGCTCCTTCATTTGAATCACTGGACATTGGTTGTGGTACAGTTTATTTTGATTTTAGTATGTTATTTCTATCTGAATCTAGAATAGAGCTATTTGAGAGGATTGTAACAGTACTTTCTTTTCCATCTGGCAACCTAACAAGAGCATAATCTGTATTTGCCTGAATCAGCTCAAATTCTCATACAGTAGATTTGTACTTGATGTTCTGAACATGGTTTCTCATGAGCACTGTTGATTTCCAATCTATATGGAAAGACTGAAAAATCATCCCCCCCACTCAAACACCGGCTTTTATAGGAAAAAATCCACAAAATGCATGCCGGGATACTTTTCTTAGTCAATAAAATAAGTTGGTTTACAACTTGACTTTGTTTTTGCTCCTCTTTCTTTCTATTGCAAATATTATTAATTCTGTTCGTTGGACAGTCATGTTATTTATTTTGTATTTGGACCATGACATTCCAGGAATCATCAACCATAAAGGAACAAATCTTCCAGAGGTAGATTTTCTTGGGTAAGGAACCATCTGTTCATTAGGAGTATAATTCATGGCTGTAAACAGTAAGGAAGGAATTTGGAAATAACAAAGTAGTGGAAAGCATCAGATAAAACCGTTTTTCATTGATGCACAGGTAAACGTCTTGATTTTACAGCTAACTTGTTCATCCTCCACAGAGTTCTGTTCAGTCTCTCCACTTGACTGTTTCCCTGTGGGTTGTATGCAGTAGATCTACTAGTAGCTATTCCTTTCTCTTGAAAAAATTTCCTTAATACCTCTGACATAAAACTAGGTCCTCTATCAGAGTGTATATAACTTGGCATACTAAATATGCAAAATAATTTACTTAAGCAAGTCAATACATTTGTAGTGAGCATGTCCTTACACGCAAAAGCAAAAGGGAAATGACTATATTCATCAATTATAGTCAATAAATATTTGTCTTCTCCTCAATTTGAAGGAAATCTATATTCAATCTTTCATTGGTTTGAGTGGCTTTGATTAATTTGCTTCCTCCTCTCTCAAATCTTGGCTTTTTTATGGCACTCACATTACAACTTTTCAGTCATTTTCCTTACTTGTTCTATTGAATAGAGCAAATTTCTCAGCCTGATAATGAACATCATTCTTGATACTGTAGAATAACATAGGTTATTATTTAAATCTTTAAGGTCAATATTTTTATGACAAAAGCACAATATACTCTTTGTTAACACATCTGGGTAGATGGTTTTGATGCCTGATACCATATTTGTAAGTGGAAAGTTCAATTTGTCAGCGATGAATTTTGTCGTTTTTAGTCTTTGAAACTTTATGCTTAATGAAAATGTAGGATAGACTTTTTGGTCTGTGACAAGAATAAAATATTTAACTTTCAGGTAATGACTCCATTCCCAGATTGATTCAATGATTGTGTTAGCTTCTTTCTCTACTGGGGAGTGGTTCTGTTCAGAGGGGTTTAGAGTTATGGACCAGAATGCAAAAGGCCTGCCTCCTTTAGCAGGTAAGGGGAATATAGGATTGTTATTTAGCCTTTAGTGAATTTTTAGTGAATAGTTTGGGATCCAAAGACTGTAGTAAGCGAACATTCTGACAGTTCTACTCTGAGCTTTTATATTGCACGGAGGAGGAAGTTCTTGTAGAGGTCTCATCCTTTCAGAGTCTGATCTAATGATCCCTTTACTTACTTCATAGTCCAGAAGTTTTACTTTCATTACTCTGTAAAAAATTTATTTTCATTTAAGGTGAGACTGTACTTTTCAATCAGTTCTTTAAATCTTGCCAAGTTAGTATCAGGTTCTCTTTCATTAATACCAGAAATGGTCATATCATCTATATATGCAAATGTTCCTTTCAGGATTTTCCTTTTTGATTATTCCATCCAAAATTCTTTGAAATCCAGCCACTCCATTTGTGATTCCAAATGGCATCATTTTGAAATTATGCAATGTCTCATCGGCTTCAAAAGGGTGGCCTGCTTTACAATAGGCGTACTTGATGATATACACTTTTTACGTCTAGTTTTGAGTACAGACTATACTTTGCTATTTCAGAAACCATTGTTGTAATCTTAGGCAGAGGATAGGCATCTTTTAAGTTCAAATGATTTATTATTTCTGAATAATCTATGAGTAAACATTTTTTTTCGTTTCTCATCAGCAGTTACTACTACTTGCTCTCTTCACAGGGATCCGTTGGGTTCAGTGATATCTGAATCTAACAGGTTTTTTATTTCCTTCTTTATAAAGGCTTGTTCTTCTCTAGAGTATTGTAGGGATTTCACAGATATAGGTCTACAGTCAGGCAATAGTTTTTCAAACAGAGGAGGAGGTGAAATCCTCATACTACTTAGTCCACATAGCTTTAGAAGTGATCTGTCACTCTCGTATAACATTTCTATTTTTCAGTGTAGGCCTTGAAAGTCTTGTCTAAGGATCATATCAGCACATAAATTATTCATTTTGAATTAATTAAATTTTTTCTAAGTTTTGTACCCACTGTAAGATTCGCTTTACATTTTCCAATAGTTTTTAAGAACAAGTTAGACGAAGCCATGCTGACAGTAGAGTTAGTAGGTCTAATGTCCAAACACATAGACTGAGCTATCTTGGTGTCAATAAAAATTTGACTACTTCCTAAATCTACTAGTAAGGTAAGTTTGTTCATTCGGAATTTTACTGTTTTTTTTCCAAATTCCATGAAGCCCAGTAGTTACCATGGCCATGACGGGTAATGCAGCAGACTTTAGTGAAATTGCAATTGTAACAACTTGTTCCTTGAGCTGGACACTTACTTCTAGGGTGCCTAGTGCCTCCACAGAAAAAGCCCCTTTCTTTTAAAAGGGATTTTTTTACTTTTGATTTTCTTCTTGTTGAGAAGTTAAGGTGTTAGTCCAGAATTCTGAGAGTAATGCGGTTCAATAACTTTTTTGGGTATTAGCAGAATAGGCTTCAGAATTTAGGATAGCCCTTTCCACATTTCGTGCTTCATTTCCAGCTTCTGTGAGGGTGAGTGTTTTGTTTTCAAGAAATCTCTGCTGAATAGGAGGTGCAGATAACCCAGAAATAAAGGTATCTCCAATAGCTTTCACTTTGTAAACTTGAATGGTAACATCTTTGAATTTACAGTCCTTCACCAGAATGTTCAATGCATGAAGACATTGATCCAAGGATTCTCCAGCCTGTTGAGTTCTGATTGCAAGTACATGCCTCGCATATATCTGACTTTTTTCTTGGACAAAATCTCTTTAAAATGTTCATAGATTCTTCAAAGTTTGTACATTTGCTGAACAATTCGTATCCATCAGATGACAATAATAATTTATAAGAATATCCAACTCCACATTCTCAATATGCTTGAAGAAGTTTAAAAAATTGTCTGAGTAAAGTTGTTGCTGCTGTAGACTGATTAAAGTTGCAAAAACTGTAAATTGTCTGCATAAACCTGCTACTGCTGTAGTCTGTTTGAATAAAGTTGCTATAAATAACAACTAAAAAATTAAAATGTAAGTAAATAGTAAAGAAAATCAGTAATAATGGCAGATCTTATTTTGTACCACTATATGTTTAAATATCTAAGATTGCAGTTGCTGCATTAATCTGACTGCCTCTATTAAAAATATTCAAAGTAGCAATGAACATGTTAAAGTGACCACTTATATTAGATGAATGTTATTTAAAGGTTTGGCTTACTTTAATAAAGAATGTCCAAATTCTTGCAAAGTTGCATATGAAGCCTCTGGCGGATGATCTGATATTGGCATTGGTCCATTCTTGGATAAAGTGACATTTGGCAGAACAGATGAAGTTACCGATAGTAGACGGTTCCCAGGTAAAGGGTGTTTGGTGGCTGTGAAGAAAAATATAGACGGCTAATAATTGACACTGGATAGTTTTCCTGCTTTGTAATTGTCTAAGATTTATTACTGATACAGTAATTGTGGCACAAGGCCAATAAAAAGGGGGAAAGACTGGTCAAGGTTGGTCATCACTAGCTATCTTATACCTAGCTAATCGGATTCACGACCCATTCATTTGTTACAATATTCACCATAAGAATTTATTTGTCATCATTTAATCTTTCATACACCAAAATACCCTCACACACACATTGGGCGCCAACTGGGAAAAAACCAGCCCATGTGTTAAAAATCCCAATATGTAAAACTGTGTATAATAGCTTTCCCTGACGATCCACTTAGGTGAAACCTGGATAGGTTTGTCTGGCCCATTAGGTTTGACTATATATATATATATATATATATATATATATATATATAATCAATGAAATGAAATGGGGATGATGACCCTGAAAAAGAAGGAATGATGTTAGTAGGACCTGTCCACCCCACAAAAATAAGAGTGTCCATAACATTCCTTCTTTCAACAAAATCAAAGGGTTCTCTCGCTAAGGGAGAGGGAAAAGATAAAAAATTATTCAGTCTTTGAATTATCTAATGCCTGTTTTGTAATTGTCTATTTTTAAAAGAAATAGGAAATAATTTCCTTATTTTATCAAGAATAATTTCAGAGGAATTAATGGATTTCATTTTTAATCCAACATTATTTTCTTTTGTGCACTAAAATAGCATTTATCAAGAGTGCATGAAATTAAGGCAGTTTTCTCTCATATGTCACTTCTCTTCAGATGTGCATGATTAAAGATCTCCACATCTTCCTCTCTAATCTGTGCATTAGCATGAGTGTAGAGTGGTTTCTTTTTGTTTTTTTCTACAGTGATTTTTATATGGATACCATCTTTATTTAGCTGGCTACTGACTGTTGGTGTTTTTCAATACTTTCATAGGACTTATTTTTATTCTTACTAGATGTTAACCAAACTCCTGCATTCATATTGAAATTGAATTGTGGAGGAGGTTTAGTCAACAACTATCCGACTATAACCAGTTTTGAATTCAAAATTGCCCTTCTCCCAGATTGGTTGCTATCCAAGGCCATTCTACCCTGCTATTTAAGCTATAGAAAGAAATGGGTTCATGTCTTTCACAAGGACATTAGTACAAATTGAAGACAAAATGTAATACATTTGTTTATAAGTTTAGTCTTTAAAATCAAATGTTTTGGCATAAAATAGTCTCTTCACAGATGAAGAAGAGACTTGATGTGACAGAAATGTGGTTCTACTGATGAATGCTGAGAATACAATGGAGAGAACATGTGAGTAATGAGGAAGTTTTAAGGAAAATTGGATCTACAAGGAAACTTATACTTACGATCAGAAAGAGACAGCTGAAATTACTGGAACATATAGATACATAGATAGATATGAACAGACTGAGAGATAGAGATAGATATGAACAGACTGAGAGATAGAGATAGATATGAACAGACTGAGATGAGATAGATATGAACAGACTTATATATATATATGAATAAACTGAGAAAGAGAGATGTATAGAAATAGCAAATATGCCTTTCAGAAATTAAGCAAAGTATTAAGGTATAGGAAAATGTCCTTAGAAATAAAGAGTGCAGAACTGCTATCTAATATGGCAGTGAGTGTTGGAGAGTCACTTTAAAGGAAAGACTTGACGTGCCAGAAATGTGGTTCTACCGACAAATGCTGAGAATACCATGGATAGAACATGTGAGTAATGAGGAAGTTTTATGGAAAATCTGAACTATAAGGAAACCGATACTTACAATCAGAAAGAGACAGATGAAATTTCTGGGATACATAATGAAGAAAAAGGCTCAGAAAATCTAACCCTCATAGGATATACTGAAGGCAAGAGAAGTAAGGGGGAAACAGAAAGTATCCTACTTAATGAGTTTGAGTGAATAAGTGGCAGAACAGAGTGATGGTAAAGGGGTAACAATTACTTAGAGCAACATAAAGGAAGTTGTGGAGAGCCATGATCACCATATTCAAAGTTCATAGCATATAAACGCAGAAGAAACTATGTTTGTTCTTAAGAAAGTTTTTCTTATTTCAGTTTCCATAGTTTTGTATTCCAAGGTCAATCTCCCCTGCTGTTTAACCCATAGTTGAAGGGAGAAGAGACAGGTTTAAACCTTTTCCAAAGGTGTAAGTGCAAAATGAAGAGAAATCGTTGCAGCTGGAATTTTAACTTGGTTTGCTAAAAAATTGCATTGTATATCCATGCTGGCATGCACATAATGAGGTCGAATTGAAATTGGCATTGTCCTTCAAAAAAGCATATGTGCATGCTAGTGGTTAGTAGATATTCTGTTAATAAGTTTTCAGCCATCTTGGGACATACTAACACTGGTACCAGTGCACTGTCTGTATCTGAGGTCTATACAATGCGTCACGCTGCAAAAAATGTTCAGTGAGGTAAAAGAGTTCAGTGTAAGTACTTCTTTTGTCCAGTTAGTAAGGGTTCAGAGTGTTAGCATTCAAGACTCTGAATTATCATTCCAGAGAATTCCTGAGTATGTTGGAATGACATGGCGGTGGTGCTTTGATGTTGTCACAAGTTGCCAAATGAACATTCCTATACCTGTAGACCAGGTTCTGGAGGGCCAGACACTATTAAAGATCAACACATTTTTTTAAGGGTGGCAGTGACAGACTGCATTGGTGTCCACAGCACAAATCAAAGCAAATACAGTCACAGAAGTGTCAACATAGACTATTGGGACCAACATAGACTTTTACAACAAAACTATGGGCATGTGTACTATTAGACTTTCAAGCTACATGGTATTGTGAGAAGGTCACCTAGGGATCTGAATGGCATTTTGTAGTGAGTAAGATAAGTTCTGTCTTCATGTAAATGATCATCATTTACATGTGTGACATAAACATGGAGAGTGACATTTTCCAGAGTCTATTCACCTATAACTGGTAGGCCCATTCCCTGGTATCATGATGTGGGATGCCATAAGTTAAAATTCTTCCTCACCTTTGGTCTTTGTGAAGTGCACATTGAACAACATCATATTCATTCAGAACATTGTTCAACCCATTCTGCTACCATTCATGCAACAGGAAGGCAATGCGTTGTTCTAGCTGCTCATCCTATTCAACATGGTCTGCAAGATATTCAACATCCCTGGCCGGCACAATCACCAGACCTGTACCTCATTAAACGTGAATGTGACATGATGGGATGAGAGCTGACTCGTTTATTAAACAACTTACAAGTTTTGGTTTGGTTTGTTTTGTTTTACGGCATATCAACCTCAATGGGTCATTTAATGCCAACAACTTTTTTTTTTTTTCCTGGTAATATTTTTGTCAAAAATCTATTTCTGTTAATATTTTTTTCCTCAAAAATGTATAGCTGGTAATATTATTTTTTCAAAAACGTATAGCTGGTAATATTATTTTTTTTTTTTTCAAAAACGTATTATCAGAGGCCTTGCTGTTGGACATAGTTTATTGTCTTACCCAGGACACGGATGTAGATTAGCGTCATACCCAGGACACAGATGTATTCTGAGTGTTAACTATTTGCCCATAGATGGGACCCTAACAGGTGCTACCACCCCGGGTCAGAGTGGACCTGGGAACACCAGCAATTAAGAGGTGGTTCCACACTCCTCAAAACCTCCTGATCAGAGGTCTTGCTGTTGGACGTAGTTTATCGTCTTATCCAGGACACAGATGTAGTTTATCATCATACCCAGGACACGGATGTATTTCATCATCATACCCAGGACACCTACAAGTCTTGGTGTATTGTGTTAACAGATAAAAGAAGCATGGCATAATATAGTGATTTTCCAAGTGTAGCTTTCCTATCAGTAGATGCAGCTATTGATTTATATAGATATACACATATATACATTATAGGCCAAAAGTATGGGTTACCTTCTGAATTTCAAAGAATCTCCTAAAAATTGAAGGTTGCATGCCTTTGTGAAAATTAATTTACTCGCTCACTTTAGATCAGAGGAACTTTCTTTTCCTGAAGGGTTTTATAATATCTTCTAAACATTAATAATAATAATGAAATGAACTCATTATTGCATAAAGTTTCCTTCAAATTTTAGCTCTTTTTGCCCAATCTATTTTACTGGTTAATGGTAATCTTAGGGCTGGCAAATTTTAAATTTTATGTAACTCCCTCTGGTGTAGAGTCCTGCTGCCAGGCATACAGTCTTCCAGCAGCCACCCTCTTGATGAATGGAAGCATAACGTCACCATCACTTGTGATCACTTCAAACACCTTCATAATCGCCATTACTTATCCAATTCTTTTCAAATCCTCTGCACTCTCCTCAGATTGACACCAAAACATTCTGAAATGTTTGCACTGGAGTTTCTGATGCAAATGCCAAGCAACTTAGCATGCTGTTTCCAAATTTCTGGTGGAGTGAATTGCATCATGGTGCTCTTTTTCTCACAGATGGTGCCCAACTGACCCTACTATACTGTGTAGTCAACAAAAAAAACAAAAAAAAACAATGAACATGTGTTAAATTAAAGATAAAAAATTGCGACAATTTACTCATCGCACCCAGTAGCCATAAAATGCATGTAGCATACAACAATAGTCAATTTCAAAGTTTAGGTTAGGAAGATGAAAGCAGTCATCTGTAACAAAGAATCAGATGAGCCCGATAAAAGACTTTGAGTTGGTTGTATGTGGTGCAGTAAGCTCCAGGAGTTGCGTCCTCAACTACAATGGGCTGTTAAGAGAAAACATTCTATTTAGAATAGGTGGTGCTGCCTATTTGCATATGAATGTTACTGGGCAGATATTAGCCAATAGTCAGCGTGGGTTTGGAACTGGGAGAGCTATACAACACCAGTGTTTTTCTCTGTTGAAAGAAACGCTCTCAACGTGCGGACATGCAAAAAAAAATAGGCAAGACGAACATATCACCTGAATGGTAAATAGCATAACAATACTTGATGTGAGGATTTCCCATAATACTTACATTTGTCTATCTGGTGTGTATAAAGACTGTCTTGTCCTGTGATAGAGTTGGATGTCGTGCCAATGGCTGGAGAGCAGAGACTTATGGTTGTTGGCTTTACCGAACTGACCTGAAGATGACATTGTGAAATACATGGCAGACCCCCATCCAGCATGATAGCTTGGCTTGCTGTGGCTGAATTAGACTGAAAGAAATAATGTTTCATCTTAAATCGTGTGAATAAAAATAATTGTCTTTTGTAAGATCTGTATTGTAATTGGTAAAACAAAAAGAAAAAATTTAGGTTTATAGAAAAAACAAAAGCAACATTCAAAAAGCATTTATAATATTAGGTTATTAGGGAAAGTAATCATATAACAGATGTGTATTGTGGCATAACAGATATCTGTTCAGAATGAGGAACTGAAGAGCCAAATTTACATTCACCATACACAAATATTCATTGGGAAAAGTATGAATCCAGCTCTTCTGCCCCCAGCCATGGGTTGAATAGTAGGACAGACTGGGTCCTATAGCCTTGGTTGTCATCTAGTCTACTGGAAAAAGAAACGGCAACTTACTGCGCGAAAATCTTCTGCCTAGTCAGCCATGAATTGAAAGAGATATGATTGTCCAAGCATGTATCACATATGACATTAACTGACTGACTGAATTACATTTTACCAGAAAAGATATAAAAACAAATGAATTTATTTAAATATTAGGGTGTTTGAAAAGTAATCACATTTTTCCCAGAGAGGATAAAAGTAAATGTAAGTTAAATTCCTTTAAATGTTATTTATTAAAAAGGTAATTTCCTTCATTTACAACTACTACAGCTCAACAAGAAAAGCAAATTTTTGATTCCATGTTTAAAGATATTTGAGTCTTTCCCCACAAAAAGTCCAAGAGACTGTTTACAGTTTTTTTTTTGTTTCTGAATGTTTTTTGACTTATGAAATGTTTTACTGATCAAAAGAACTGAAAATCTCAAAGTATTAAATCTGGTGAATCTGAACAAAACACACAGACCCTCCCCACCCCATAAAGATATTATTTTTGTTCTATTGTTTTTGTTTTGCAGAGTATGTCCTTGCATTGTCCTGCTGGAGACACTTTTGATGTTTACCAAATCAAGCTGCTGGCAAGAAGTGTCTGCAATGATAGTCCTTCTATGTTCCATTTGCTTGTAATAGATAACACCTTACATATTTCATCAAACACAAAAAGCAAGAATTTCTCTGAATGGATTTTCTGATTTTGGGGTTGGTATTGATTTCTAATTTTATGATAACCACTGTCTCTTATTTTTTGTTGTTGCTATCTTCTGCTGACATGCGAAACCCATTTTCATCATCTGTAAATATGAAAAGCTAGCATTCCTGGTTAAAAGACGGCTACGGACTGTGGAATGTTGTGTTCACTTCTCAAGCAAAAGCTCACAAGGAACCTAAATTCTTTCGTTGCAGTTTTTCCAATTCATTTGAGAAGAACATGACACATTAAGTTTTTAAATATGGATCTAATTCAATAATCTCTTTCAAAATTTCTTCAGTCAAAGTGGATTGCTTGTTGGATATGTCCATTACATTCACTTACATGCTATTACCCTTGGGAAAGGTATGAATACTCTTCTTCTCCCCCCAGCTATGGGAAAATAACAGGACAGACTGGGTTCTATAGCCTTGGATGGAAATTGGTCTACCACAGAAAGAAATGGCAACCTACTGCGAGAAAAAAATCTGCCTCATCAGTCATGTATTGAAAGATACATGATCACCTAAGCGTGTATCCCACATGGCACATAACTGACTGATGGATATGTCATAGTTGATATTTTTAAAGCTTTTAAATCACAAATGACATGTATAAGCCATCACTGCTTCCATATCTTTCTTTAGATGACATGTGTGATGCCCACTTAGGCAATCATGTTTCTTTTCAATTCATAACTGACTTATTCATATAAGATTCTACTGGACATAAAGTGGGGGATAGGTTTTCTATTGTCATTAAGTACAAAACTGATCACTCCAGAATTGTAAATAATAAATGCATCAACACAGAAATTCAAATAGAAACTCACCTGTCTTATTTGTTCAGCCATAAATGCTTCTGCTTTTATACAGTCTTCGTCTGTGATTGCAATGTTGTTAATGGCTGTCAGTTGTGGGAAGTTGTTAATTAAGATGTACCGCATTTGCATCTTTTTTGACACCTGCAATAAACACACATTAGAGCACAAATTTTCATCAAAAAGACATTTTACAAAACTTTGTTTGAAATGCTGAGATGAAGCATTTTCACTCATTGATTGTTTTCCTTTTTAGCAGCATATCAACTCTGTTGGTTATTTAATGCCAAAAAGATTTCTTTTTAATTATATACATGGCTTGTAAACAATCCTTTGGGTTGTTGGTTTCATCACTCACATGTTATGCCTTTAGAACAGAGTTATTTCATGCTATAATTTGTGATATAGACCCACATCATTCAAGTAAGCTAGAATAGTCACTATTTTTATCTTCTTGAAAAGGTCATATCATAAAATTGTTGATGTATATAGGCAAGGTTACTACAATCAGTGAAAATATGTTTTACAGTATATGCCTCCTGACATGTAGTGTATTCCTGAGGATATTCATTTTTTAAGAAAATGAGTGAGCGATAGGTGTGTTCTATTCTGATTCTTGACAGGACAAATTCTTCCTTCTGAGAAAGTCTGAGACCATGATACCATTTTCCTAGAATGGGTTTAATTTTGTAAATTTTGTTGTTTTGATGCTAGTTCAATAACTTTGGTATCAAAATCTTTGCAGGTCAGTTTTTAATACAACCTTTTGGCTGAAATTCTCTTCAGCCTTTCTCAAGTACACATAACATTTGGTAGTACTTCAGGTCATAAAATCCATTAGCAAACACAATTCTGGATATTTGCTTTCCAGCAGGATCATCTATAGTTGTTAAAAGCTATCATGTTTTTGTTTTGCACACACATTATCTGCACTCCGTATCTAACCATCTTTATACAGTTTCAGTTGGCTAGGGTTTTGAATTCAGAGCTGTCTTTCTTCTAGATTGGTTGGCAACGGTGGCTAGAGATCCCAGTCTGCTGTGCTATTTAACTAATAGCTGAGGATAAAAGAGATGGATTCATACCTTTTCTAAGGATATTTGTTGATAACTCTTACACTACGTACATGTGTACATGTGGCAGCAAGGCCTCTGATCGGGAGATTGAAGGTTTTGAGGAGAGTGGAACCACCTCTTAATTGCTCTGCTTCCCAGGTCTACCATTCTGGCAGCAAGGTTGGGAGGTTTTGAGGAGCGTGGTATCACCTCTTAATTGCTGTTGTTCCCAGGTCCACCCTAACCCAAGGTGGTAGCACCTGTTAGGGTCCCAACTATTGACAAAATAGTGAACTTTCAAACAAAAAACAAAACACTATGAAAGTATAAAAATACATTTTATAGTTATAATACCAGCAATCCATTTTTATATAAAAAAAATAACCAACAATTCATATTTATAGTAAAATGACCAACAATACATTTTATCTGTAGTTGAAGGTATACAATTGCATTCAAAATATATTTAGTTGAGGCCATAAAATTGTGTTCAAAATATTTAGATTTCAGCATTAAATAACCCATCGAGGTTGGTGTGCTGCTACTATAAAAGAACTTTTTAGTGAGGGGAATTTTAAAACTTATTTAAAGGTATGTGCAAATGAAATATGATTTTTATTCATTAAGAATTTTTACTTACAGGGTTGTTTATCAGGGATATATCAGATAAACAACTCAAAGACGTTAAGTGTTCAAATTCAGCAATTTCCTGCAAAGAACAAGAACAACAAAATGTTTGTATTGGCAAAAATGATATATATAGTTTCATACCACCTATATATATATATATATATATATATATATATATATATATATATATATATATATATATATATATATAAATAAATTATAAATTTGTAAATTGTTTAAAATTTATTATATTTATGGGAAAAGAGTGATAGAGCATCTATAGATATAAACAGTGTGGACATAGAAATCAATACTGTAGAGTAGGATGACTATCAGCTTCATGCCTTAAACAATCATTAGACACACACGCACAATGAGACCAAGAAGCTCTTCTCAACAAAAAAATATGATGTTGAGCCATTTGGTGAAATTTTGAAAAATGGTTTGAGCCAAGATCATTTTAGTTTCAGTTTTGTCTCTCCCTATATATATATATATATATATTTTCTACTTTCCATAAATATACTTTATATATATATATATATATATGTGTGTGTGTATGTAAATATTTTCAGATAGAGTGTATCTGTAGAACAAAATGAATAAAAAGAGACAAGATAAATTCAATCACAATTTTGATATAAAAAATGCCACATTCATCAAAAGAGAAAAGTAATTTACTCAGAAGGAAAATTCTCAAGAGTGCTCTCATTGTAACTTATCAAAATATAAATCTATGTCCCGAGTATGTGAACACATGACACCGCTTCAGGGGAGGTAACTAACTGAGTATGACGTGTTGAGAGTTCTAAGAAATGAGTATTAAAAATATTAATGCAAACTTTGATATTTGAATGAAGCGATCATGTACCCACAAACTGGATGATAATTGTTGAAATTCTCAGAAAAGCAGATGGAAAAGTTGTGAAAAAAAATTAAAAACGAAATGCGCTAAAAATTATGTTTTAAAATAATAAAATCAAATCAAGGATAGTTCCAAGGAGAATATGGAATTCAATAAGATTGTGCAAAACCAAAACTCTCAATCCTCCCACACTTCCCGCCAATAAGAAAGAGACCAATAATGTATCATCAGAGTTGCCGGTCTGGGGAAAATAGATAAACATTGTTTACAATACCTTATCAGTAAGGAAAATGGGTAGTCACCGAAATAGCATCTAAATTGTTCTAGACAAAGAGCCAGGAAAACATCTGGTTTCTATAGAGGAGTTGTGTCGGCCACCCAGAAAAAAATATCACTCCAAAAATAAAGATTAGCACCTAAGATTGGGGACAGGTTTGTTTATTTTCCTTTGTGTGACATTCATGAAAAATTAGTTTTGCTGACATTATTTTGGATTTTAGGCACAGGTGAGACAAGCATACGGGAGATGAAGATAGTGGAATTCGGGCATTGGGAATTGCCATTGTCTGCCATCTTTGTGTAGGTAAAGGAAGTCATCAATCATCATTATTAGGAAAGATTCCTCTATATATGTCAATCATGTGTTCACTGAGAGTCATCAGAGTGGGGAGATGCCCCGCATCTTTGTGTGGGCCTGGAATTTCCCAAGTTGTCACTAAGGAGCACACCTGCAATTTCTGGGCTGGTATGAAAACACCAACACACACAACGTCAATGACAGGGTCATTACCTGAGTGATTATGATTATAAATCTCCTATGACAGAAGAATTGAGAGACATCAATGAAAGGGTCATTACCTGAGCGGTTATAATTAGAAACCTCCCACGTATAACCAAAGAGTTGACTGGGCATCACTTTAATAGGTGCAACCAGAATCTCCAAATCACCATTCCTGCAGTAGCTAATAGATATTTTATTCATCCAGTATGCCTTATATTTAATAAACCTCTTGTTAGAATTATCAATAGTGTTGTACATGTCATTGAAGGAGTTCTTTTGTCCAGCCTGAGTTCCAACGAGCGCTCAGACAAAAGAGGAAAAACTCTACCATGGTTATGAAGTATTGTGTAATCTTCACTGGGGAAGTATGTAATCTTCGACAGGAATTGCATAATTTTTGACGGGGTAGTGCAGTTCTGCCCATAGTACACAACATATATAGGGGTCCCCACTAGACTCTGCCATTAATCCCAATACTGTAAGATTTTGAGAAACCTTAAACAACCCTACTGAGATGACACACCAGCTCCAATCAAGGAGGGAAAACAAAGTCAATTGAGAGAGAATTGTGAATGGAAAAGAGAAAAAAAAGGGCTGTCATTGGTAGTTTGGGTTTACAACAGGTGAAGTGAATAGAAGTGAATAAGTGAATACCAGATTTTTATCCAGTCTTTTAGGGGATCATGTCACATTTCCCCCCTCTCATTCAGTACCCTTACTATAAAAATTGATAATTAGATATACAAGTGGCTCCATTAAGGACAATGTTCCATCGGCAGAAAATATGGTGCAAAATATATAAGGTTGCAATTCTTAGAAATTTACAATATTTTGAAGTTATCAAAAAGTTTTTCCCAGTACCAACAGATTAGCCTGCAAGAGAAACATTCTAACTATGATAGGCCTCCTAACTAAAGTGCATATGTACACAGACATTTTGGTTTTAAGAGTAAATGCTGTAATAAATATTTGATTTAATTGTGTTACATATTTTTATGATTAGAGGAGACATCCTATCAAGGTGGTTGTGGACATCAACAGATATGTTATTGTGAAATTACTTGCCTGAATTTTATTACTGCCCAGGTACAGCCGTTCAAGTTTTGAAAGAGAATTGAGTCCTGCCAAGCTGACAAGTCTGTTTTCTTCGAGGTGAAGTTCAGTCAAGTTGTGAAGGTGGACAAAGGATAAAGGTGAAATTGTTTTCACTTTGTTAGCATCCAAAACAAGTTCTACCAAATTTCTGAGGCCTTCCAGACCTTCAAGCTTGCTGATATCATTGCCTGAAAGAAAAAAAAAACACCGATCTTGAGAAACATGACAGGGCTTTTGGCAAGCAAATCATGTGTGTAGAATGCCTTTACAACAATGCTTCTTAACCAGATTGTGAGGAAATCCAAATCTCTTTTTGGGTGAATTTTAGAGTTTCAGGGAAAACCAGAACCACAGATTAGCAGATTCAAATTTCTGTAAACTACGCTTCCCCAATGCTCTTTTTGAGTCAGATAATTTTGGAAGATAATCGAGGAATGACATTTTCAAATTCAGTGAAAATAGGTCAGGAACAGGTGCCTTAGAATTTTTACTACATCAATAGATAAAATAAATCATAGAATTTACAAATTATTTTTTTACCATATAAGTTTCTCATTCGTCTATGCATTGAATTTTGTTGTGACATGTAGTCTAATGCTTCTGCTATATATTTAGAGATTATTGATAAAATCTATAGAAGAATTTGCAATGTTATCACTATTGACCTGGCATCTCAGCTTTAGTCACTTTCCCAAAACTGTAATGTAGATTTCATCTTCCATAAATATTTTCACGGTAATTGTTCTGATGAATTTCCCTCTTTGGTACGTAGAATTTATAAATTTAAGTGCAGTACTAGATTGGCAGCAAGATCTCATCATTTTACAGCTGAAATGGCTTGATGTAACTGTAAGTTCTATGTTAACAGTTTCTTCTCTCACACTTCTTGCTTTTGGAGTTCTCTTCCAGCTTCTTGCTTTCCAGTCAACTTTGATCTTCAAAAATTCAAATGCAATGTCAATTGTTATCTTCTGTCCTCTTAAATCCTCTTAAATCCCGTTATTTTATTGTTCCCTCTCCTTAATAATGTTTTTCTTTTTCTCATATTCTTTCACTATCAGTAACTCCTTGCATCTTAGTGGCTTTATTGCCTTGCTTGGGGCGAAATAATAAAAAAAAATGACAAAAATATATTGAAAAACAGCCAATTACTCACTGTTTGTCCAGCTTCCAGCAATGCATAATAAAGAATTCTCTTTGAATTCAAACAAAATACATATAATAACTTTTTTTCCATTTAAGCTAGGATATTGAAGGTTATCTTAGATTTTTCCATAATTTTTGTATTTAAGATTTTTATGTTTTTTTATTGTCAGTGATTATCTTGTACAAAAATTACTTTTTTTTTTTGCAGTCAAGCAAGAGAAAGATACCTGTTTAAATGCTGACCAATACTGCTTTCCATAAGTTCATTTTCCTAACTTCTGAATTTTCGTATCTCGCACAAATGATATATTCATAAATTTAAGAATAGTACTAGATTGGCAGCTAGGTCTTATCATTTTACTGTTGAAATTACTAGTCTAGAGTAATTGGTCCTGGTTAAATGTAATTGGTAGAAATGCCCAACAAACAGAATTGATAAAGTTTGCAACAAACAATAAGAGAAGAACAGGGCAAAAATAATATTAAGCAAACAAGATATGCAAAGCAAAGCAAGAGTAATAAGGCAAAAAAGTTCCTAAACTAAGAATGGTTTTAACATACAAAAGGGATACAGACAAATGATCACAGACAAGAAAGAACAGAAATATGAAGGATGAAACCAAGAAGTGGCCTATCTTATTATTGGCTAGGGAGAAATCCCAGCATGCATCTGATGTTTTGTCGATGAATTCTGGGAGGGGGGAATGTTTTTTTGCAGTCATTCCAGTATAGGTTGGAACCAACAGTTAGATGCAATCAGAAGTTCTTGTCTGATAATTTCTTCTCTCACATTCATTGCCTTTCCAGTCAACTTTGATCTTCAGAAATTTAAATACAACATCAATCATCATCATCCTCATTATCTGTCTCCTTGAATTTTGTTCTTTTTATTGTTGTCTCTCCTCATTGTTGAAATACCAGTACTCATCTAATCACCAAAATTAATCAATATCGAGCCTGGTCAGTACCTAAGTGGGTGACCACCTGTGAATACTAGGTGCAGTAAGCTTGGATGCATAAGGGTTCAGAAATGAAATTTGGAGAGCTGAGTTCCAATTCCAGTTGGGTTTGATATATTTACTTAGACGTAAATAACCTTACTAATGGTATGAATTTACTTCTCTTCCCCACAACTATGGATTAATTAGTAAGACTTGTATCAGGATTTTCCTGACATTGTGTAAAAGATTGCATTATGCATTACTTAATACTTTTCTTTATTAAATTTTTTTTTATTTTGAAATAAGATTTGGACAAGAAAATGGATGCTTTTTGGGGGGTTGGGGTGGGGGTATTAGTAAGAAGGGAAAAATAAAATTCCAGGGTTTCCCTGGGAGTGAAGAACAGGATTTCATTACAGACAAACTTTAAGCAGGTGAATGAAAACAGAGATAGGCATACCTTGTAGAAATAAAGCCTTTAAAGAAGGCAGCCGATGCAACTGAAGCTGTGGAAGGCTCCGGATTTCGTTATACCTGTCAAATATGAAACACAGGAAAGATAAAATGTTACTGATTGAGAAGCTGGATTCTAAACTGAAATAAGAAATTGCTTCTGGGATCCACATAATTTATTTTCAGCAATATTAGCAACTACTTATTGAAATACAAACTTGTGTTTTTTGAGAGAGCAATTATAGCTTAGGACCAAACTCCTCAGTGGGTAGCAGAGACGGTGTATTGAGAGACAATGGTGCTCATTAACTTAGCTGGGAGTAGAAGAATGGCTCTTTAATTGGACATGATGGATCAAATCACTTGGCAGCATCACATTTATATATCTCCAATCAGTCTCAACCAAAGTTTTGGTTTGAGACAAATGTGGGGCTGGGACCTGGGATTTACGACTTTCTCTAATTATTGCTAGCTAGCTAGTCCACCTCTATTAGTATGACAAGGAAGGGCCCTCTTTGACATTTTTTATTTTTCTTATAATCTAACAGCAGCCATACTGTCTTGCTGTTGAAAATTATGTATGAACCACAATGATTCCTTTAAGTGTTTTTTGGTATCAGGGTCACTTTTTGATCCTGCCAGCTGCACCCAGCCACAGTGATCACTCAAAAAGCAGTATCTAAAAGGCACAGTTTTTGTAATGGATAGTGGCTCAGATTGAGGAATCAGAGAGCCAAGTTCAAATTCCAGTTGGATCCATTACATTCACTTACGTGCTAAAACCCTTGGGAAAGGTATGAATCTTTTTCTTCTCCCCCCAGTTATGGGTAAATAGCAGGACAGACTGGGTTCTATAACCTTGGGTGGCAACCAGTCTAGGAGAAGGAAAAACTCTGAATTCAAAACCAGCCTGGAGAGGGTTGGGCTCTGTCAGGCTATCTTGCCCAAGAAACATCACTTCTACTGTGGCTGCAATACACATGGTGTCCCTGCGACCATATGGGTCATGGAATAAAAAAAAAAAAACTTTCTTCATAATCTAACAGCAGATACTGTCTTGCTGTTGAAAATTATGTATGAACCAGGATGATTCCTTCAACTGTTTTTTGTTATCAGGGTCACTTTCTGATCTCACCAGCTGCATCCAGCCACAGTGATCACCCAAAAAAGTAGCATCTAAAAGGCACAATAGATTCTTGCCTGATCATTAAAGTAAAGCAATATTAAGCCTGGACTGTACCTAGATGAGTGACAGCATTGAAATACCAGGTGTAAGTTTGGATGTGCTGGTGGGGTAATAAATAACAGCTTGTAATTGGAAATTAGAGATCCAAGTTTAAATTACAGTTGGGTTTGTTATATTCACTTGGAAAAGGTATGAATCCACCTCTTCTCCCCCAGCTATGGATTAATTAGTTGATTGTGCATCAGTAAAAATCATTAATATCTCAAAAAAGTAATTCTTAAAATCTAAAAATATTTTCTGGCTTTAAATAACCTGCAAAAGGTTGATAAGCTATAAAAAACAAATCAATCAAAAACCAAGGCATGACACTACAATGGGTGATTCATTTAATTTTCTAAAACTGTAAGCTTTTTGGTAGGATTGGAAAACCCAATCCTAAACATGAAACTCTATTACTGTTGGTTTATGGAACTAATGCTTTTAATTTAATTGCAAAATTAAATTCAGGGTTTTTAGCTTCTATTTTTGAAACATGGTTGGAACTGTGTAGGGAAAAAAAAACATATTTTAAATCAATTAATTTATAATATTACTGTTGGTTTATGGTCATATCATACTGAAACATTGGTTCTTGTATGATCACCAAAGTTAAGCAATATCAAGCCTGGTCAATACCTAGATGGATGCCCGCTTGGGAATACCAGGTGCAGTAAGCTTGGATTTGCGGATGGTGTAATGCAGGGGTCGACAATGCCCAACTCCCAGGTGACATCTGGCCTAAGAAGCATGGTTGTCCAACTTGCCAACTTAACCGTATTAAGGAATTTTCCTTCTGTTTTTTTTTTTTGTTAGTTGTTATCCTGTTATTCCTGCAGTAAAATAAGGAACCTTGTGTAAATAATATAAGATTAACTTTGCTGTTTTTTCTTTAAACCTCCAGACTAAGGCAGCCTTCTGGACAGAGCAGTCTGAGGCCAACACAATTTATTATAGTACATTTGATACAATTTCCCTCCTCTGAGACACTGCATAGCTGTTTGGCCTACTCTCTTCAAAAGGTTGCCCAACCCTGGTGTAATGGATAATGACTCGGAATTGTTAATTGGAGAACTGAGTTCCAATTCCAGTTGGGTTTGTTATATTGACTTACATGCAAATACTCTTGGAAAAAGTATGAATCCCTCTTTCTCCCCCATCTATGGGTTAATTAGTATGACTTGTATTCCTAAACCATTATTATCTCATAAAATAAAATAAAATTGCATCCAAAATACTTAGATTTCAACATTAAATAACCCACAGAGGTGTTGATATGCTGCTAAACAAAAACAATCACAACCAATCTATTCCTGTTCAAAAGCCCAGAGAGAAGTGCGCAGTTCCCCAAAAGTGGATGCATATTTAATAATTATCGTTAAGTTTGGGTTCCTTTTCTTAAAATCTTATTTGTGTAGTAATTGTGTAAAATGGCAGATTTATTTATATGGCTTCAAATATATATTTTAATATGTAAGTATATTTATTGAAAAATATTGCGCAAGTGTCTGAGTAGTTAGAATGTTCACTTTTCAACAATGAGACCTGGGCTCAAATCTCATCATGGTCAATTAATCATGAAGGTATCTTGATATTATTGGCTTGGGGAGGTGATCTCAGTGTGCAGAATCTTTGAAAAGTGTCTGAAAACAATATCACGGGTTGACCCAAGCTTTGTGCACAAAATTGGGTAGACTGAACTATTTGGGAGCTGTTGATGGTTGTGCTAATACAAAGTCACAAGTCATCATGACTGAGGGTTTGAGCATACTGGCCTTGTTCTGACTGTTGATCATGCAAGATAATGTGCATTCTTCCAGAAACTGTAACTAAGGTCCTGCTTCTTAATAATATATTTATCTTTTGGAAGGAATTTTTTAATATTCCAGTGCATCTTTGGATTTTAATGTGACATTTTTCACCATATGTTATAACTTTTTTTAGCATAGAATTTATGGTTACATCTGGCAATTTCAACTGCAAAACGTTAAGACCTATCTGCCAATCTAGTGCTGTGCTTAAGTTCATGAAGTCTAGGTACCAAATAGGGAAGTTCATCAGAACAATTACCATGAAAATATTTATAGAAAGTCACAGTGAAGCATGTAGAAAAATTAGAAAGTGTCTGAAACTGAGATTCCAGGTCCATATTGATTCTTTGGATTTTTTCAAGAATCTCTAAATACATAGCAGAAGCACTAGCAATGCTTGGGTGAAAGGTAAACTGAGAAATAAAGTTCAATCCTAAAAAGAACAAGAGAATTTTGATAATTGTTGCAATGTAATATTTGTTCAGGACAAAAGTAGTGGATGCTAATGTTTTCAAAAAATATCCAGAAGAATCTCACCCAAGATGTAGAACTTCAAGTTTCAAGAGAATTCTGCAGTTACCATTATCCATGTCTCCATCATGGGAGTCTTCAGAATCTCCATTGGCTGGGTTGGATTTTTGTTTTCCCCACTTTTGTCGAGGAAATATTGACTCAATTCTGTTGTTATTCAGACATAATACCTGCATTAAAGGGAAAATCAAACCTTTTAAAAAGCTGTTTACCAACTTTAGTGCTACTCTGGCATAAGGCAGCTATAAAAGAGAAACCAGCAATGAAAGAACTTGCTACAATAGCAATGGCTAACTGACTATCAATCTACAACAAACATCCACATACACAAGATCAGAAAGGATTCAGTCATTTAATATTCAAGAAAGAATAGCCGAGGACAATGGAACTTAAGTTTCCTTTCAAAGTATTTCCTTTGTGACCTCACAAAATTATCCCAGCATCCCTTCCACTTCATCCAGGATCAGCTGCTTGGTTACATTCTCCTTCATCTTGTTCATAGTCTGAAATGATGGCAATTTTAACTCTGTGAAGAGCCAGAAATTACGAGAATTGAAACCTAAACTGGTGGAGGGGGACTTAAATGATTCTATCCTGCATGAAATGTCACTGTAGATGCCACTGTAAATGAAGAAGTGACATAATACAAAGGTTCACTCAATATTACGGCTGACTGAGTAACTTCACAGGAGAGTGCCTATTCACATGTGCACAACAAAGTCTCCTCTGATTGGTTTCCAGTCTTATTTAGCTTTTTATCACTTAACTGTTTCTTCCAATAAACCAGTGTATGTGACTTTTCAGTGCTACCAGACCCAGGGACTGAACCAATAAATGCCAGGGAACCAGATATGTTTTTATCAAACATTTTAATCCACTGGACAATATGTCTTTATGAAATGAAAAAAGATGAATAAGACTGATGAGTATTAACTGATATGAATTATCTCCCCATAACATGGAAAGTGCAATGAGAACACCCAACCTGTGAGGATTGAATAAAAGGTTTGGTTCAGAATTCCAAGAAGGTTATCAAGTACAATGACACACACACTTGAAGAAGGCTGAAGGGTACAACTAATGGAAACGAATATAATAAGCAATTTTTACTTTTTACTTTTTCTGCTTTTATTCAATAGAATGATTGTTTGGATTCAATGACTGTATATCCTGTCCTAACATAGTTTGCTTTTAGTCAACTCTTGATTATTGTCAAGATCAGAGCACTTAAAATACACAAGACAACAATGTACAAAATATCCACTTCTCAAGATGACTGAACATTTTCAGGACAAGCACCAGATACAGAATCAGGATTATTTTTTTTTTCTATCACCAGACTATAATGTAATGTTATGAAGAACCTACTCACTTTGTGAATATAACTGCCAAGCAGTACACAAACTCACTCAATGCTATCTCTCTTCTGACTGTGTAACCACATGGGAGAGTGCATGCACAATAAGGCCACCTCCAATTGTTTGCTAATTTACATTAAGTTCACATATCCAGTTCTCAAGATGACTGAACATTTTCAGGACAAGCACTAGATACAGAATCAGGATTATTTATGTTTCTCTTTATACACAATGATTAGTATATGGAAGTTTTCATGTATCTGTGTAAGAAATCCTACCTGTGATATCATGGTGTTCCATTAGCTGCTTATTATTTGGCAGTAGACTCCATGGAAAGCAAGTGGTGTGCAGTAACTGCTCAGTACAAAGTAAGAACTAGACAAGATATCCCTAGACATCATCAGTAGAAAGAGAACAATCTACCTCCATAGATTAAATAAAGAGGTCAGTTTGAATTTCCCTGAAGGTTACTAGGATTTACAAACACTTGATGAAGGTCAGAGAACAACAACAATGATGGGGATCAGTTGTCCATGTGTAAATAATATTAACTCCTCATGCCAGAAATTCAGACAGAAATTTTTGACAAATGTTTAGTTTTTAGTCAGACTTACCTTGAGATTGTGTAAGTAGAGCAAGCCTCCGAGAGATGTAAGGTGATTATGTTCCAAATTGATGCTGAATAGAACAGGTGGAAAAAAAAAGAAGAAAAAGGAAACCTTAATAATTTATAACTCTGATTAAAATTCTCTCTTGCTGCTATATATAAAAAAAACAAAAAAAAAGTAGTCTTGATACGTATTGTCCAGATGAAGTTGTAAATACCACTGTGTATTCATTTTCTTATCAATACCTCACAGTTGTCTGGTACATACACATATGCAATAATGAAAATAAATATACACAGGCTACAATCTCTGGTCTGGTGCTTCTGCTATGTATCTCAAGATTCTTGAAAAAATCCCCCCCACCAAAAAAGCAATGTCTAGTCTTGAACTGCTTAAATTAGTTTTCCACAGCCGTAACGTTTCTTCACTCTGTGCCTTCTATAAATATTTTTATGCCATTTGTTCTGATGAACTTTCCTCTCTGGTACCACAACTTCACGAAATTAAGCATGGTATTACATTGGTAGCGCTATATGTAACCACAAGTTCCACTCTAGTAATTTCTTTTCCCACCTTTTGGAACTCTCTTCTAACTTCTTGCTTTCCTAACATCAATTATTATCTTGTCTTCTGGAATCTGTTCTTTTAATGTCCTTTCTCAACAATAATGTTTTTTTTTTTTCAGTTTCTTTCACTTTCTGTAACTCCTTCCATTTCAGCGGATTGATCACTTAAACGATTTTAAAAAATAAAGGCTGAATATTTCAAGTAAAAGCATAAATTATAGATATGATTACATCATGGTTTGACTATATTGATGAAGATTATGGACAAGATTCCATATTTGTTGGTTCTATAGGGCCTATCTGAGACAGGCACCAACTGCTAGAGAATGTCTGACAACCAGAAGTTATTCTCATTTCATGCTCTTGTCATTTTACTATATTGAGGACAATAAAAGAACAGGTTTCAAGGAGACAGAGGATGATCACTGACATTGAATTTAAATTTTTGAAGATTGTAGTTGATAAGAAAACAAGTTGACATGCAAAAAGTGCAAGAAAAGAAACAATTAGCATAGAATTTACAGTTACATCCACAGCCATTTCAACTGTAAAATGAGACCTAACTGTCAGTCCTACACTTAAATTTGTAAAGTCAAGATACCAAAAAGAAAAGCTCATCAGAACAGTTACCATAAAAACATTTATAAGAACGACACAGGGAAGTTATGTTATGGCAATTGGAAAGTGACTGAAGCTGAGATACTAAGTCAGGACCAATAATATTGCAGATTCTTCTTTGGATTTTATCAAGAATCTCTAAATATATAGCAGACGCACCAGACAAGATGTGAAGAAAATTTTTCACTTGGGATGCAGTGAGAGCATAACCATGCTGGCCAACAAACCAAGTGGAATAATAGTGGTCATATCCATAAATTTAGGTTTTTTCATTGGAATTTCTTTCTCCTTGGTTGTTGGTTGCCATTCCTTAAATGTATAACTGACAATAAAATTAATTAAATAAGACTGTATGCTTTAATTCTAAATTTCAAGCAAGATTTAAATTTTAAGTTTGAAATTTTAACTTTCTTTTTTAATCATTTCACCCCCAAGTAAGACAATAAAGTCACTAGAAGGACAAATTTTCCTTAATTCCATTTCAGGTTTTAGGAAATTCTGTTTTTCCCCTGTTTTCAGTATAGATTTATGTTTTTGCTTCATTATAATACTTTGTGAGAAAGTGTAATAATATATAAATGTTATTTAAACAAGAAAATAAAAGGAAAATGAAAAAATTTTACTCGCTGGAATATCCACCCATTGGATAAGTTGGTCCAGCTTCGTATTTCAGCCTTTAATCTAAAGTGATGAGTATCTGAGACAACCGTTACAAAGAATGTTACAATCCTAAATAAGAATTAAGTGAAAGTGGCAAAACCTACAGAAAAATATCACCACTACATTATTGTTTGGTCACTTTATTGAAATTATTAAACAACATTTTTGAAAATTTGGCTTTCTGAAATGACAAACTGCTCCCACCTCTGTCACCATGTGTGATAGGAAAAAGAAAGGATAAAACAAAAAGGGAAAATTTTTTCATTAAATCAAGCAAACTTCGTAAACCTTGGTTTCTAAATACTGTAACCTGTAGGGATACAGTAGGTAAGGGGGGGGGACGTATTAAAACATTACAGATTTATCCTTTGATGTCTGTCGGATGAGTGAGTTAAGAAAGGCAAACATAGTAGAAAATTAAAATGGCAGTTGGCAAATCTGTTAGAAAAATGTCCTTTTCAAAATTGCGATTTCTGTTTCAAGTAGGCTATTCCTTTTTCATATTTCCACAGAAAATAAACCCCTCTACAAATGGTTAGTTTAATTTCTTATGTCGGTTCCTGGCAAACATATTATAATTTAGTGATATCAGAGGAAAATAAAACCAAGGTTTTACATGACTTCAACCCTTCTGAAATGGAATCAATTTAAGCAAAGTTTTCAGATTCCATAACAAAATTTTAAGAAAGACATTGATGAGTACATTTTACAATGTATTGTATATGTAAATATAGCACATTTATAATGATGATTTTTTCTTAGATTTAACTTTGAAAAGAAAAGTGATCCCTACCTTGTCAAATTTCCATAGATGTCACCATTTCCCAAGTCAACAGTTCGTAAACTACAATTTGGTAAGTTCAGTTCTCTCAAATCATGACTGGTACATCCGTGAAGACGTTCCGAGATGAAGTCTGATGTTAGCCGTCCTCCAAACATATCTTTAGCTTCGATGATTTCTGTAGAATCCTGATGAAAAAGCAGAAATAAAATTATTTCTCTTCATTCATCCTTCAAGCAAATAAACAGCCAAGCTATCAAAATTTCAATCAAAATTCTATCAATAAATCTTTTACAAAACATTGCACATACCTAATTAATTTGAATTTTTAAAATAATTTATCATTATAATAATTTATTATAAGAAAATATAGGGCACAGCACATTTTTAATTAACTTGAACTTTTAAAATTATAAAGAACTTTAGTGATTAGCTACTTCAATTTAAATGCATAAGTTTTCTTACAGGAACATTTTATAGTACACGAAATAATGGTGATGAAAAGAGTACATGCACAAAATAACTGACCAACTGATTTGCAATGCAGGAGAACATTTTATTAGACAAGTTCACAAAAGGAAAGTTTAAAACAAGAGTCAGATGTAAATTTTATACTCAACAAAATGTTCATGAATATGTTACAGTGTACTTTGTAGTGTGTTTTATGTGTGTAGCATTCACAGCTCTTTTAGCTTCGGCATGGAAAGTTCATGACACCAGTTTGAAAGAGGAAAACCCAGAAGAATGAGAGTTACTTTAGGGTTCCCATGATTTTATATTCAACAGCTGCTGCTAAGTTTTATTTTAGGGCTGCTACTGCTACTATGTTTACCGTCACTAAAGAACCGCTATGATTAATGGTAGTAAATAATATGTCAACTGATAAAGGGTGAATTATGGAAGAAAGGTTTATTCTCTCATTTGCATTTCTTCTGTTATTGGCATTATTATATTCATGATATAATAACACCATATTTCACAGACTGAACAGAATAGCTGAAAGAAAAGGAATGGCAAACATACTTCTTTCTCAGAGAGAGTCATATGCTACTAAGTTGTACACCAAATTATATGTACATATTTACATCTGTCCCATGCAGAGAAAACAAGCAGTGTGAAAAGAGAACAAAACATATGGCCTTACATATAATATTGTCATTCTTTTGCGTTTCTGGAGAAGCCATATTTAGTATTCCGGATTTATTGGCTATGTCTCTCTCGAGCACATATTCTGCAAATAGGGAAATGGCAAGTCTTGGGTTTTTTCCCAACATGATGACTGTAAGCTGAAGATCATTTTTTTTCTCTATCTGGGAAAGATATTTTGAAAGGGAAATGGCACTATGAGCTTGTAGGCTGCACCACATGGTAGGTGCTTGCTTGGGGGAAGGCAGATTTAACCTCCCCTTGCCAGCTTTCTTGTGGTGCAGCTTGCCTCACCAATGCTAAAAAAAACAATTGCTCAGTTTGACTTCTGGAAACTGACTGACTGCCACTTTTGTCACTGTATGAAGTGACATCACTAAGTGGCTGTCACATGACCCAGGTGACTTCATCCTGACCAATGAATCTTTATGGATGTACTTCAACAATGGTTGGGAAGAGAAAACAATACACAGATTTGTCAGCATGATAACAATTACTAACACAAAAAGATTATGTCAGGTCACTCTGTCAGTGCCACTGGTACCACATATCACTATTAAATACTGCATGGTCAATTTATTAGTGACTGGTATCATCACCAGACTTTTCTGGTGAGAGGTGTAACTAAACACCTAACAAGAGTAAAAGCAAGACCTGTTAAAGGGCAGATAAATCTTCTTGTAGGGTCAATGACCATCTAACACAAGGAAGTAGACTGGGACCTATAACTCTATACACAGCCAGTGTGATTATGACAGGACATCATTGGGCAGAAGGTTTTCCTAGACTGAAGTCAACAGCCTGGGTGGAGGCTTCCCTTGAAGGAATCAATGGCCACATGTTTGTGACATTATGGTTTGACCTGGAGAGGAATGGATTCTACCAGGTCTACTTGCCCAGGGCACATTACACATGAATGAATATATCTCTGTTTTTTAACCCAGATATGTGAAGGGAACTGGTCAGGTACAACCACACCTGGTCATGTGACTGATGAGGATGAACACTAATAGAATTTTGTTTTACAAACTTTGTACAGCTATTTAGATTTAACCAAAGTTGCTGGGTTCTAATAAATATCCTGTGTATTTATAAATACTGTTGAATGGCAAAATCATTACATGTGCCTTGTTAAGTAAATCTCTGTAAATGTTAGAAATTATGATTGTGTTGCATATTTGTTTTCTCTTCCCAACCAAAGATTGAAGTCCATCCATAAAGATGGCCTACCTATTCCTTATATTAATTCTCTTATTTATCCTATTATAATTGTGTTTTTCTCTCCTTTTAGTAGTTCACACGACCATTACGCCATGCCAGTACCACATAAATAAGAAGTTGAAAGAGAGTATCAGATGAAACTGATGAGAACAGATACTACACTTTGATCTCAGCTAAAAAGCCGAGTAGTGTTTATTATTAAGCATGCCCTTGCTGCTACTGATTGTGACACAAGGTCAAGGTTTAAAGTGAGTTTGGCCGTAATACCGTTGGAAAACTGTCTAAGCCCCTTTGGCACTTCCCTTTTTGGAGACGCCTTAGGTGGTAAGCCCTCTCTCGAAGGAGAGGTACTGTCTGAGTGGAAGGGCCCTGGTGTTTGGGCTTAAAATTATTTGAATGTCCCTGAGCCAAAAGTGCAAGAAGGGAAGTTGATCTTGATAAAAGCACCATTTTTTTCAGATGCAGAGTATCAAACAATGGAAACAAAAATTTCCAGTTACCATAAATAAAATAACATCATCTGCAATTATTTTTAAATTATTATTAAGAGAAATGTTTGTAAGACAGGGATTTGGCTAGATGGGATGATAGAAGTTTAACTTCTTGCAATCCCTCATAAAGAATGAACTATTCTGTTTTGATTGTGTAGAAAAACAAGAGATATGTGCTACTTGGTTTCAATCTGCCTGGCATTACAACTCCAATCACTTTCTCAACACTGTGATGTGGCTTCCATCTGTCTTTTCTATAAATATTTTCATGGCTGTTGTACTAATGAACTCTCCTCCTTCGTACCTTGACTGCATGAATTTAAATGTATTACTAGACTTGCAACAAGGTCTCACCATTTTACTGTTGAACTAGCTAGATGCAACCGTAAGTTTTATTCTAATAGTTTCTTTTCTTGCATTTCTCGCCTGTGCAAATCTCTTCTGGTTTCTTGCATCCCTACCCTATACGATCTTCAAAAATTTAAATGCAATGCCAATCATAATTGACTGGCTTCCTGAATCTTGTTCTTTTATTGTCCTTTCTCCACATTTATGTCTTTTCATTTTCTTTCACAATCAGTAACCCCTTGCATCTTAGTGGCATTATTGCCTTGCATCAGGTGAAATGAATAAAAACAAAAAGTTCTTTATTTTGTTATACTTTTTAAACCACCACTTTATAGTGTGCAGTTATTTTTCTCATCTCTATTTTTTATATTTTTATATATATTTATATATACTTTTAAAATGCTTTTTCTTTAGGCAGTGTGACCACTTATATAAAAGAAGACTTCTAAGAAAGAAGTGTGTGTGTGTGGGAGGGGGTCACCAGAGTGTACAGACCATCATATGACCATCACGTCAAGCCCCAATGTTGCATGCACTGCCACTCCTCAGAAATATTGTCAAACCAATTAAGCTTCTTTTATCAAAGAATGACTATTGTTATATTTGGGGTGTCTGAGTGAGTCTTTCCACAATTTCAAACCCTTTGTGAGCATACTCCGACTTTGGCAATTTAGGCTAACACCGAAAAGTCATCATCTTAAAAAAAAAAAGCAAATCACAGCATGGGGTCGATTGGTCATTTGGCGAATATGTTGTGGACGAAGAGTGTGATCACAGAGATATATTTATATATAATATCTTGTATGGCAGGATTATATAAAATCTATTTAAGAACAATGTATATGAGTCATTCCTTTCTTTCAGCCATTCAGGTCCTTCCTTACATTGTGTTGAGGTGTCATGAATTAACTAATGCCTATAATGGGGAACTGGAACCTGGAAATATTCTCTCTTTCCAAGTGTATCCATTAATTATGAAGACACTCAAATGTCAAAATACTCAAGTGTGAAGAACTATAAATGTAATTGAGTTATTTTTTACATTTGCACTTATATCCTCATCATTGTTGTTATTATCATATTTTAGCCATTGTGCCCTCCATTCTTCTGTTGATCCAGATAACCATCAGAGACAATCACAATCATGAGGTCCCATAAACCATTTTGGGTTGTAGGGGTATCACATGTAATGCAGACATGGCACTAAAGTCATCATCTTAAAAAAAAAAAAAGCAAATCACAGCATGGGGTCGATTGGTCATTTGGCGAATATGTTGTGGACGAAGAGTGTGATCACAGAGATATATTTATATATAATATCTTGTATGGCAGGATTATATAAAATCTATTTAAGAACAATGTATATGAGTCATTCCTTTCTTTCAGCCATTCAGGTCCTTCCTTACATTGTGTTGAGGTGTCATGAATTAACTAATGCCTATAATGGGGAACTGGAACCTGGAAATATTCTCTCTTTCCAAGTGTATCCATTAATTATGAAGACACTCAAATGTCAAAATACTCAAGTGTGAAGAACTATAAATGTAATTGAGTTATTTTTTACATTTGCACTTATATCCTCATCATTGTTGTTATTATCATATTTTAGCCATTGTGCCCTCCATTCTTCTGTTGATCCAGATAACCATCAGAGACAATCACAATCATGAGGTCCCATAAACCATTTTGGGTTGTAGGGGTATCACATGTAATGCAGACATGGCACTAGTGGTGTGTCTTGAACAAGATGACCTGATGGAGCCAAACCCTCTCCAGGCTGGTTTGAATTTTCTTTCGCCTAGACCAGTTGCCAACCAAGCCAATAGAGTCTTGTCTGTCCTGCTATTTACCCACAGCCGGGGAGAGAATAGATGGATTCATGCCTTTCCCATGGGTATTTGTGCATAGGTGAATATAATGACCTCAAGTGGAATTTAAACTCAGTTCTCAAATTTCCCCATTTCAGAGCTGCTACCCATTACACCATCGCATATCCACGTCAGAGTCAATAGAGCCGAACGCATTAAAGTGTTGGCGGCTTGTGAAATTGGTGACATAGTAGTTGTGAGTTGGTATTGGTAAAGAAAACACAGATTGGTATGTGGGGCTAAAAACAGATTTACTGGGGCATGTCTAAAAAAGAGAATCAGTCAGTTTAAAGAGAAAATTTACCACAGTTTCCCCGTCCAGAATCTGAAGTCCTTTCAAGTGAAAGATGACATAAAGTCTATAATTCACAGTTTCCTTTGTCATTGAGTTGTTTCTAAAATCTACAATCAGGAGATTCTTCAAGTTCTGTTCAGATTAAAAAAACAGAAAAAAGAAATTGCATAAAGCATCAAAATTATAAATATAAATAGACATCAAATATTAAAAAACAGAAATGCCCACTCAAATATGTGTATCCACTAAACATAACAGTTATAGTGGTAATAAAAATAATGTCAAATAATAGATAAAAACCTGAGGAGTGATAACCAGTTAACTCATTCTGTTATTTTCTTTTATTCTTGGAATTATTTTCTCTTTTCTCTTTTTCATATTACCAAATACCGTATTCATTTTCTTTTTTTGTCCATTTTAATTGTCTCTTCATTTTGCTAAAATTAAATTTTGTAACGCTAATAAGGTTTTCATATAAAAATCCATTAATTCTTTAGAGATTACTTTGTTTGCATTTTGAAGATGAAAATAAAGTTAGCAGATATGGTCTTCAAGAGATCTTAATTAGAGAATTGCATTCCTTGAATAGGGTAATTAAGTTTTGCTTCCCTGTAAATGTCCTTCATCGCTGAGTTGTCTAAAGGCTATATGGTGGTTTCCACTACATAAGGGAGACATAATGTGAAACCCAGCCAAAGGGCACATCTAAAAAAAAAACCCAAACACGTAGACAAAAACCATATTGTTTAGACAAAAATCATAGTTTAAAAAAAAACAGAGATATCTACTCAAACATATCCACTAAATATGGCATATATATATATATAAAATAAATCCTAAAAAGCCAGAGTAACCTACCTAGGTTTCACCTAAACGGATCATCAGGGAAAGCTAGGCAGGTTACTCTGGCTCTTTAGGATTTATTTTATTTATCCTGCTCTCCTTAGCGTATTGAGCAGTCTATGTTTTAGGTTTACTACTTGCTTAGGTTTTTTTCTTTGGACTAAAGACTTTAGGCACTGGATGATTTGTTTCACCCTGTTCATATGTTTTTACTTCTTTTTTTTTTTTTTTTCAATTTTTTTTTTGGGTTCCAATTGGTTTTGACATATCTATAAGTTGTGCTATCAAGTTTTTCCAACTGAGTATTATTATTATTATTAAAAAAATATATATATATATATATATATATATATATATATATATATATATATATATTCTCAAAATGTTTTGTTAAATAATATGGACAAGTTCTGTCTATCGAATTTTTATTAAATTTAAAAAAAAAAGAAAAAGAATCTGTCCATATATATATTTGTGTGTGTATATATATATATATATATATATATATATATATATATATGTATACATACATGGAGGGTGTGATTGGCTCCAATACTAACATTTCAGAATATTTTGGTGTCAAGCTGATGACAGTGCAGAGGATTCAGAAAGTGTTGGATGAGTCTAATTGTGATTACGAAGGTAGGGCAGCTCAGAAAACTCACTCTGATTATTCTGATACGAAAAGTACATCCAAATTTGTTGGTGAGGGTCTCAGACTCAACATCAAGGCCTTGAGGAGGTAGTGCTGCCCTGGGTCAAGAGGGTGACTGCTAGAACAGAACTCTGCACCATGCCAGATAAGCAGAAGAACCCAGTCACAGCTGTCAGACTATTTCTGCAACCACGTCAACCCTTTCTGGCCCTTAACTCTCAACAACTGCAACACCCTTGATTATTATGCATTATCATCAAAGATGAACTGAAGCCAAGAATTATGGTAGCATTCACCAACTTAAAAAGGAGACTGTCCAGAAGATATGCAGGAGATTTTGAAGTTACCTGGAGGCGGTGGTTCAAGCCAATGATGATTTTATTGAATAAATTTACTCTTTAGTTTTCCAAGATATTTTTGTGTAATTTTGGTAAATATATCTATTGAAAAGAGATGTCAGCATTATTTTCATTTTTGCATAATTTAGACAACAATTTATCCATTGCACTCTGTATGTGTGTGTGTGTGTGTGTGTATATATATATATATATGAATAAAGACAAATGGAAAAGATTGGATGTGCTTGGCATGAAGTAACATTTCCTCACATTTGAAATGTGACTAGCACTCATAGGCTTGTGCTTCACCAAAAAGCTTTTTAATGTATTAAAACAGCAATTTTTTCCAAGATAAAACAAAATCTTATTCACACTCTCTGCTCAAAATAGTCTCAACTAGAGTCAACACTTTTGAATTCATCTTTTCTTGCATTGCATCTTGGACCAGCATCTGGTTAGGTCTTAAATGCTATTTCTCAGGTGATTGCTGTGACTGGATGCAGAAATGGTGGAGCAACCAAAACGTAACTCTGTTGTTGAAAAGTCATGGTTCCAAAAAATTGTTGAAGGAATGATTCTGGTTTATATATGTGCTTCAACATTGAGACAGAATGGATACTATTAGAGACTAGGGAACATAGAAAATGAAATATGTCAGATAAGGTCTGTTCTCCATAGCACTGATTAGGATGAACTGCTGCTAACTGGCAAAATTGTTCCTCTATTATGGAGCTTTAACTCCTCCCTTCCTCCTGCCAGCTTAATTAGAAAAAGCCATAAATTGTAGCTCCCAGCCCACACTTATCAAAGACCAAAATATTTTGGTTGTCAATTACTAGAGATAGACAGGAATTCTGCCCCATCCAATTGCTCCTTCATCTCCCAGCTAATTTAATAAACAAAACCATACATCACTTTTTTTTTGGGGGGGGAGCATTGAGGTATTTCCTAATCCTAATCTGTTGATGAACCAATATGATCATTTATTTATTCATTCACTTCTTTTCATTTATTCAGTAAATAAAAGCAAAAATATTGATATTGTTTACTTACTTTGATAAGAATTACTTCCCCTGAATAGACAATCTGGTTGTGTCCAATGTAGAGCTGGCACAAAGATGACAATTCCTGGAATCCATCAAGATTTTGGATGAAGTTGCTCTCTAGGGAGAGGTAGGTCAAATGTGAGAGCTGCTCAAGTCCACACCCTTTCAATGTATGTATAAAATTGTGGCCCAAATGTAACCGTTGTAGGTTGATCAGGTGAGATAAGTCTCCAATATGATCAATACAATTATCAGATGCTGATATCTCCTCAAGTTGGCTACAGGTATGCAGGTCCTGAATTAAACGAGTAAATAAATCACTTTTGGCCTTTTATCATTTTACATAATTAGAATTCTTTAATTATAGTATCCCCCCCACCAACAAAACAATATGAAGCTGTTTCATAAAGAAGATGTCTTAGTGAGATTATTACAAAGTTAGAAAAATAAAAAAGAATATCAGTTAAAAAGCAAATGATTTGTCAATCTCTCGCTTAACGACATCACAAATTGGAATTGTCCGACGTTGGGTTTTCTGCAGCTAAATGAAAAATTTGTAAATTTTTTCATTAAAATATTTTTACCTGATCCAATTGTTCAGAATACAGAACTAATTTTTTTTATTGTTTCTGCTGCTTTTGTTATTACCAAAATTGTTACTAAAAACTACATATACAACATCTCATGCAGATATAAAAAGAATACAATGAAGTAACCAGTCATTTCCTAAAAATGTTTCTCCCCATTGCAGGTACTTGTGTCACCATTCACCCTTACAAGAGCTAGATTAAACCAAAAATGGAGTATTGCTGCCATATCTGAGCTGGAGCTGCTCAATGTTCACTTGTTAACCTTGACAACCTTCAAAATTGTTTTATGCTGCCATGTGGGTGATTAATTATTTCCCACTCTTCAGCAGCTTTCTCACAAAATACAATGTTTCAAGTCTATTGCTATTCTTTAACTATTTTCATGGTAAATACACAGATGTGATCCATTCAGTTTGGACCTTTACAGTTAGGTCATGCTATGCAATGCACCCATGGAGTTGAATCATCCACATTTCCTACATATTCCAATTGTAAGGAGACAATTCCACTCAGACAGCTTCCCCCAACACTAAGAACTGCTATTTTGTGGAACAGATTCCTATGTGAATGCTTCCTGGAACACAATAATTTTTTTTATTTCTTCAAGTCAAGGGTCAACCATTATCTATCCCACTTATCCTCATAATTTTAACTTCCTATCACTTCTTCTTGCATTCAGTCAGCAAACCTCTACCTTGAGTTACTCTTGAGCTTTATATTGCATTAATTTTAATATTAAAAAATGAAGATAAATTCAAGAATAATAGGATGTATCCTAGAGATACCGACTATGCAGTTACAGTAAGTATAGCATATGTAAGAGGGGCAGTTGAAGAAATATAAGAAACAGTCCATTTATACCATACACCTCATTCATCATGAACATTTTAAAAGTAATCCTCTACTTTGAGTGGCTCTCGAACCAGGTATTGGATGAACTTTAGTATAAAAAGTAAGCAAGATATGCGCTAGATAGAAAGGCAAATAAACTTACTTTTAAAGTTGTCAAGTAATTTCCGTTGAGAGAAATCCATTTTAACTGATCAAGTCTACAAAGGTAAGACAAGTCAGATAACTGACAATAGTCAAGATTTACGGATGTTATCTGCAGATAAATAAAAAGAATATATTTAATTGTAGGTAATATTAAAACATTTCATTCAATGCTATAAAAATAAACATATTTAAAAAAAAGTGGGGGAGGAAATTGGAGAAAAGTAAACACAACCACAATAAATGGTAATACAAAAAAAAGGAATTAAAATACTCTACCTATGACTAAACGAAAGGAGGGGAAAATGAGGATAAGAAACACACAGGTATCCATAATATATTGACACAAAAAAGAATGCATCGTACTGAGAGAAAACAACCATTTCTTTTCTTTACACAAAGAAGGCACTCTCGATTTAATAGAAACTAGCAGCATGGCCCGGCATTGCCCATGCTTGATTCAAAAATCATACGACTCATACAGCAATCATTATTACTTGACTTAAAATATTTTTGCCCTTCCTTGCCTTTAAAGGAGTGCCCTTTGCCGTGCTGATGTTGCTACATGCCTTACTTCTTGCCTATCTCACACTGCGAATTTTTTCTATGCACTATACTAAACATTAAGAGTCTGTCTATATTTCTGAGATGAGATATTACGTACAGTATTTACATTAGTCGGACTATTGTCCTCATCTTTGTCGCCATATTTGTCAGTTGAACGTTTTCGGGCCGGCACGCGCTCCGCCTTCTTATTGGTTGGAATTTGAAATGAACCCTTTATTTCGATCACTGGGGGTAGACTGTTCTAGTTCCACGTGCCATGTTTGATGGATGTCAGTTATCAGTTATCTCCTGCTAATTTTCCCTCTGAAAGTTCTCCACTGCCTTAACCAGGTATTGAACTCACCTTCTTTGGGTCTGTCACTGGATCTAACCAACGCCTTTATCCACTGTGCCATGTGTCCTCAATTCAGTAACCTTTCCTCGGTTACCACATAAAGAAAAATAGAAAATTGGACAAGAGAAAATACAGACACAATAAATAGCAATATGAAGAAAAATATTGGAAAGAGCTGACCGGTTTTCCTTCCACTCTCATCAGATTTAATGCAAACAATCTCAAGAACCTTTAAGCGAATCAGAATGTGTCTAAATTTTTATTAGAAAGATTTACATTATAAAGTTAATATTTACTGATGTTGTCTACAGATAAATAAAAAGAATATATGTAACTGTAGGTAATATTAAAAGACGATGATAAAAGTTTAAATCTTATTTCAATTTATAAAAGCAGACATATTTTAAAAGAAAAAAGAATAAAAGATGTCCTCTGATTCTCTCAGAATCTTTTCACTGTACTGGTTAAATGAATTCGATGAAAGCATCACTTGATATATAAATTTTATCAGAGGTACAAAATGTAACCAATGCCATAGAAAAGGACTTTTAAAAAAAAAGGTACAAGAAGATAGAAAAGAAAAAAATATATAAGAACCACATAAAATGACAATATGAAAAGAAAAAGAAAATCTGACCGGTTTTCATTCCTCTCTCTTGGGAACTTGATCGAGGAATTAAAATAATCTACCCAACGACTAAATGAAAGGAGGTGGAAATGAGCAAAACAAATACACATGTATCCATAATATATTGGCACATGTATATTTATACTAAAAGAACAAACTGCACTGAGAGAAAACAGCCATTCCTTTTGTTTAAACAAAAAAGTTACTGTCTATATTTCTGAGATGAGGTACATTATTTACATCATTCGGACTATTGTCCTAATCTTTGTCGCCATATTTATTATGTTTCGGCCATTGTATGCTCTGGCCTTCTTCAGGTGGTTGAAATGTTGAACTGAACCCTTAAGGAATCAGCATATATGCTAGGCCACAAAAATCTCATGAGCCGACCAAGCATAGAAATGAATACAATATGGGAACTAGTAATAAGGAGTGCCAGAGAAAAGCGATAATAACAACAAAAATTGCAATATGAACTCTGGTAAAAACATGCAATGATAACAGCAAAAATTGCAATATGAGCACTGGTGAAAAAAGGTTGTTGAAGACATTAGGTTTATAATACCCAGAAATTCATAAACAAATGTCCTCAAGGACACATGACACAGTGGATAAAGGCGTTAGTTAGATCCAGTGACAGGATCCAAAGAGTATGAGTTCAATACCCGGTTAAGGCAGAGGGGAATTAACAGGTGATAACTGATAATTGACATCTATTAAACATGGCACATGGAACTAGAACAGTCTACCCCTATGAAATAAAGGGTTCAGTTCGACATTCCAACTACCTGAAGAAGGCCAAAGCGTACAACTCCAGAAACTTCAAGTGAGTCAGAATGTGTCCACTGTTTAGATGAAAGATTTATATCAGAAAGTGAAGATTTACTGATGTTATCTGCAGATAAGTAAAAAGAATATATGTAATTGTAGGTAATATTAAATTATATAAAGACAGACATTAAAAAAAGAGAAAAGGAAATTAGACAAATGAAAACACAGTCACAGTAAATGGTAATACAAAAACAAAAGAGGAAAAACTGTAAGAAATAACTGACAGGTTTTCATTTGTCTGTCATCAGGGCTTCACCGATGGTTGGTTGTTTTTGTTTAGTACCATATCAACACCTAGGAGTTAATTAATCTAATTATTTTGTATGCAATTTTATTCTTTTTTGGAGATAATAATGGCTTTAGTAATAAAAGTGTTACTAAATAACCCCTAGGTAGAGAAGAGGTTGATCTATCAATCTACAGCAGCTTATCTGTTATTTCTGACCACGTGATCTGACACAGATTGATGGCCTGAATAATATTATCTTAATTATTCTATATTACTCATTAAATGATTCAATTTAATTTTCTTGGGAGTCTTGAAGTTGTAGCAAGCAACAAAAAGTTATCTCCCCTTGACCAAACAAAAAATAGCAATAAAAAGTAATTATAGATATTCATGTGATCATGTGATCTAATGAGATCTGCATGAGACATTATTAAGCAGGAAAGTCAATCTTCCTCTTTTTGCTCCTTAAAGTTATAGTAACAAGAAGCGCAATTTCAGGCTTGTGACAAACAGACAGATAAGTACAAAATTTATATTGTTTTTGTTACCAAGTCTTTTGTAAGTAGATATATGTAAATCTTGTATTAATAATTTTGAATATAAAATATACATATACAAGTGTTTTTATACAAAGACTTTTTGTTTTGTTTGAACTTTTCATATATTTATGTTGTCGTTTGTTTTATATACCTTAAACTAGGCCTATGTTACATATTCCTACACAACAAACTAGTAAAAATATGATATATGTTATTCTGCTTGTTGAATACATGGCGAATGATATTCAGATTTTGTGCATGTTTCTGTGGACATGATTACTAGAGGTGGTAATATATGTGTTTTATGGTGTAGCTTTGTTGAAGTTATATTTTGGAATACAGTTTTATTTCTTTAAGTAATTGTTGGATATTATATGGGTTAATGTCATGAAAGAGTTCTTTCATGTTGGTTGTTTGGTTGATTTTGTTTAGCAACATTTCGACCTCTAGGGGTTATTTAATGTTGAAATCTAAATATTTTGAACAGAATTTTATGGCCTCAATTAAATATATTTTGAACGAAATTCTGTGCCTTCAACAACAGATAAAATGTATTGTTGGTCATTCTATTATAAAAGTATTTTTGGTCATTTTGCTTTAAAATTGTGTTGATGGTAATTTTACTATACATATGTATTCTTGGTAATTTTTTTTATATAAAAATGTATTTTTATACTTTCATAGTGTTTTGTTTGGGGGTTCATTATTTGCCCATAGCTGAAACTCTAACAAGTGCTACCATCCCCGGCCAATGTGAACCTGGGAACAACAGCAATTAAAAGGTGGTTCCACACTCCTGAAAACTTCCAGAGACCTTGCTGCCAGATGTAGTTGATCATCATACCCAGGATTAAATCATTAAATCAGCTGGCTCCTAAAGATCAATGTTGAAGAATTTCAAAAAGATATCATGTGAGCAAAACAACCTGCTCATCCATTGCAGAAGATGTCTCAAAGAAAAAGGTAATGAACCGTCCATGTAGGTTTGATCCAAATAAGGCACTGATAACAATACTGAAAAATGTATCAGGTAAATGGGAGGATCAATCTGCTTTGTAGAGATCCATAATAGCAGGATGTATATATATATATAGGTTTGTCAAAAAGAAACTGATTAATTTGAATGTGTAATTAAAGCCGCTATAGCAGTGCTTCACAACATTTTTACCCTTGCAGAACCCTTAAAATAAATTTCATATTTCAAGGAAACCCTGTGCAAAAACAAAATTATATACCATATCTTTCTCATTTTATTTTCATAGTATATATTTTTGAATAACCGGTTTAAGGAAAAATTAATACTTTTTTGTCAAATTTTTTGGTAATGCTAAATAAAATTCACACTGTCCGTTTATAATAGTTCATCAGTGAGTTTTTATTTACACAAAAAAATTAAATAAAAAGTCAAAAGTTCACTAGCTTATCTCAACTGTTCCCGCGGAACTTTTGGGGATCATTTGCGGAACCTTAGGGTTGAGAAATGCTGCTCTATGGGGAAAACCAGTAATGATGATGATCACTAAGACCCTCATCTCTTACCTATCATTTTTTCTGCCTGCCTCTCCATCAGCCTCCTTGCACGATTTTCTGATAAGCACCGCAACACCTGTTTGTCATCATTTTGATACTATTTTAGTTTTTGGCTCATTACTGAACTTGGGTCATGATATTACCCAATAGCTTGCCTGATTTTGTTTCTAGTTCCTTCATTGGCGACATAGTCTTTGTAGGAAATGCAAAGGAGTTTATAAAAGCATCTCTCATCTCTGATGTCTTCATATCTGCGGTCAAGGTCCATGATTCACAATTTTACAAGTACATTGAGGTAACCATTGATAAATATTTGATCTGAATGACACATTTCTATCACTCCGGATAACTTTCATTTTTATTATTGATGATGTTGTTCGTACAATACAGGAAAGTAGAGAGCTGTAATAACAGGGTCCATATCTCTCATATAATAGTAGGCTCCATATCCTTACTTCTTTTTTATGTGCTGTGGACTTTCAGCAGGACATTAGCAATCAGGGCTCTCCACAATTTCTTGTTCTTTGTAGCTCTGTCTTTTTTATCTCTCCTAAACCCTGTTCTGCCATTCATTTACCCAAGCTCTCTCAGGAGTCTATGCATTGATTTCTTTTGTTTCTCTAAGCTTTAATCTGTCCCATGAGTATCAAATTTTCCAAGCCCTCTTTCCCCATTATGTGCCCTAGAAATTTCAACTACTAGAAAGTCATAACAATAGGATTTATCTGCTTCAATGGAGAATTTTATTACTTGGGTTAACCCTATTAATAGGGTCATGTGATAGGAAGCTTAATATGCTTTCTAGGGAGTTGTAATGGGAGGATCAATCTGCTTTGTAGAGATCCATAATAGCAGGGTGTTGTAATTGTATCCTCCTGGATGCGTTTTGGAATAGCAAAAGTGCCTTCCAAAAGCTAAGCAAAGTAATAGGAACAGAAAAAATTCATTAAACACAAAGATAAAAGTGCTGAACTGTTATGTAATATCAATTCTCCAATATAGCATTGAATGCTGGACAATTTCCTTACAGGTGAAGAGAATACGGGAGACAACAGAAATGTGGTTTTACAGAAGGATGCTGAGAATATTATGAATGTAGTGCATATGCTATGAAGAAGTCTTGAGAGAAATGGAAACAAAAGAGATGCTTATACTCAAAATCAAAAAGAGACAACTAAAATTCTTTTGGAAACATAAAAAAAGGAAGTCTTGGAGAATTTGAAACTCACAGGACAGAGTGAAGGCAAGAGAGATGAGGAGGAAGCAGTAGGCCAACTACCTGATAAGTTTGCGTGAATGGATAGCAGAACAGAGGGTGGTAGGCTTAACAAAAGGAAAAACTTTGTTACAGAGGACAGGAGGCTGTTTAGAGCCATGATTTCTCACATCCTGAAGGCACTTAATAATAGTCTCATTATCGTTACTAGAAGGTTGTCATAGCAAGTGCTTACAAGAGAGTTTTTATCTGAAGGGTTACTATGCATGACAAGGAGTTGTAATTTTATAGTCTTATAAGTAAGTTGGAATAGTATGATCATTTCACTTATGAAATGTCTTTTCATTTTTATTTCATATTTGATAGTAGAAAATCTAAGAGGCACAATTTCTTAGGGAACCTTTTTTGCCTTCCATCAGCATGGCTGATGCTAACCTCCAGAAGAGTGACTCATCGCAACTTTTTAGGCTAATGTGTTCCACTGTCATGAAATGGAAAGATTATATTGAATCATTTGCTAAGAAACTGCTAGGAAAGTTGGTTCACTGTGTCATGCCAGACAATTTTTTTTATGAGAATCTTTCATACATTTATAAGTCAACCATGCATACATGCATTGAATATTGCTGTCACATTTAGTCTGGTGCTTGTGCTATGTATTTAAAGATTCTTGATAAACTTCAATGAAGAATATGCAATATTATCAGTTCTGACCTGGCATCTCAGCTTTAAAAACTTCCCACCATCATAATGTAGATTCCCTGTGCTTTTTCTATAAATTACTATCATGGTAAATGTTCTGATAAGCTTACCTCTTTATCTTGACTTTACGAATTTAAGTTTAGTACTAGATTGGCAGTTAGGTCTCATCATTTTATAGTTGGTTACATATAACCGTGACGTCTATGCTGTAAGTTTCTTCTCTTGCACTTTCTACTTATGTAATTCTGGCTTCTTGCTTTCCAATCAACTTTGATACTCAAAAATTTAAATGCATGGTCAATCGTTATTTTCTGTCTTCTTATTTCCTGTTTGTTTATTGTTCTCTATCTTTAATACGATAATTCCTTATGTATAATACGCCTTCATCCATAATACGTACCCCTGAAATTGTACTGGAAGTTTGGGAAAATGCTTCTATTCATGCATAATATGCACCCCTTGTTTGGTAATCAAACCCTATAAATTATACCTCTCCAATTTCATTATGTCCAACGTTTCCTACTCTTATTTAAAAAAAAAATTTTTTAAACATAGAATAATATTATTCTAATTTAGTTTTATCATAATTCTTATTTTACATTTGTAAGTATTGTTAGGTAAATATAATTGCATTTGACATCCTTATGGGGATGCAATCGCTGAATGTGTCAAATTTTTGTTTGTGGTAAGTAGTCAGTTTGCAACTGAAATCTACCTATGAAACGGCAATTTTTTAAAGATTTTTTTGTGGCTGTGCATAATACACACCACTAATTTTGCTTATTATTTAAAAAAAAAAAGCGTATTATACGTGGGGAATTATGGTAATATTTTTCTTCTTCTCATACTCTCACACACAGTAACTCGTTTTGTCTTAGTGGCTTTATTGTCTTGCTTGGGATGAAGTGATCAAAAAAAAAAATGATGGAAATGATTCCTGTAAGAATAAAATAATACAAAAATATAACACATAAATAATTTTTATCTGTTGAAATACTGATGACATTACCTTTGAGAAACACATTGGATCAGCTTCAGTCAACATTCCTGGTCGGTTCAAACTGGTACAAGTGAGTATCTGAGCCATGTTCCATATGCTGAGAATGCGGGGTTCAGAGTGATCAACATGGCTGTGGGTTTCCAGTAAAGATGCACATATCAGGTCGGTAGTCAAGAGGCTCTCAGCTGCATCTCTCTCACTCTCTATGATTGAAGAGCCATTCAGGGTCATGACATTCGGTAACTGACCGATGATACGCAATCTCAGGTCTTCTGGCTGAACAGAGGAAATATGTCAGAGGTAAAATCTGAGTTACTGCAACGTTCAATTTGAGGTTGGGTACAAGTTTAAACGAAAGTCCTGGCTTCATCCCTTAAATAAAAACGAATCATTATTGTTAGATTGATTCATTGTGGAGACTATTATCTCAGCACAGGCATTGCTGACATCTTAACATCTTATGTTGGTGGGTGTGCAGGTGGTGTAATGGATAACAGAAATGAGAAATGGGAGAGCCGAGTTTGAATTTCAATCGAGTTTGTTACATTCAAATACCCTTGAGAAAGATATAAATTCATCTTATTCCATCTCCAGCAATGAAATAAGTAGCAAAGCAGATGGGGCTCCCTAGCTATGGTTGGCAACCAGTCTAGGAAAAGGACAACTCTGAATTCATTAATTAAACCATAACCAGAGATTTAACTTGTCAGCAATGGTCATAATTGTCTAAAAAGTTGACTGCCATCATTATATATATATATATGTGTGTGTGTCCATAAAATCACTTTATAATTTAAAAAAATATCTTACAATGGCAGTTGATGAGATATCTTAATCAGATTTGTTCTATGTACTCAATAGCTTATCAAAGTTTTTAATCATGTTGCTTTTGTGTATTTCAGGTATCCTGTTGATAAAAGGGCTACTGCTAAATGAACCACTAACATTTCCAGACTGGTGGATTGGAAGGGATGGCACAATTCCTTGGCCACCTCATTCACCAGATATCACTCCCCTGGACTTCTTTCTATGGGGCTATGTTAAAGATATCATGTATTGAACAATGATATGGGACATCACTGATTTAAAGCAAAAGATCACCGATGACATTGCCACCATTAATGAGGCTATGCTATGGTGAACATGGTAAGAAATCGAGTAATATCTTGATGTCTTCATGCAAGTAATGGTGCCCATATAGAGGTGGATTAAATTAGTTAAAAAATCTTCAATATCTACTCTTCATTTTGTAACAATTTCCACATATTTGTTTATTCATTTACTTTTGTAATATTTTTTTTTAAATTATAAAGAGATTTTATGGACTTCTTGCATATCCTGGTGGCTCTCCAGGCCCACGAGGATAGTGAAAACAAGAGAAATTACCATCTAAAACAAACCCCTCTTGAAAATGGATAAAGAAGGCCCAATTCCCTCGCAACCTCATTCACCAGACTTGGACTTCTTTTTATAGGGTTGTGTTAAAGATATTGTGTATTGAAGAAAATATGGAAACTCACTGATCTAAAGCAAAAGATCACCGATGCCATTGCCACCATTAATGAGGCTATGCTGCAGCGATCATGCCAAGAAATTGAGTACTGTTTTGATGTGCCTCATGCAACTAATGGTGCCAATATATCGGTGTATTAAATTAGTTAAAAAAGCTTCAATATCTACTCTTCATTTTGTAACAATTTCCACATATTTGTCTGTTCATTTGCTTTTGTAATAAATTTCTTAAATTGTAAAGAGACTTTATGGACACCCTGCATATATATATATATATATAAAACAGTTATTGGTCAGAGTTGAATGAGACCGGGAAAGTTGTATTAAAAAGTGCTCAATAAACATATAAAGAAAATAAAAATTTAACATGCAAAGCTTTTAAATTTAAAAAAATTAGGAGATCAGCCAATCACACTACCTTGGTTTCAACCTTTTGGCATTGTCAGTTGTTATAGACAGTGTTTTTAGTTTTTTTTTTGCTTATAACGACTGATGACGCCAAAAGGTTGAAACCAAGGTAGTGTGACCAACTAATCTAATATATATATATATATATATATATATATATATATATATATATATATATATATAATGTAAAAGTGCTCAATATCAAAGATAGAGCATATGCAAATCTAAAAGACGAGGTCAACTGCAAGTACTAACAATCTGTTTAATGGTTCAAAGCATGAAACAGACTGGCAGCACTTGGTGTTGATGTCACTATCAACTTATATATATATATATATATATATATATATATATATATATATATATTTATGACTGTGAGACCCTGTTACAGAATTGTAAAAAAAATTCTAGAGATTTAAGTACTGTGATCTGAATTCATTTTTTGTACAAAACAGGCTAACACAAAAGTCAACTCATTTTTGTATATTTTGTATATTTGGAAGCTCCAGATTTGAATTTCTATATCTGTATATATTGACTAATCAGTGACATCATATGAAACATGCTGCTGTTTGAAAACAACAACAATGTTTATTGTTTGCTATGAAAATTTGAAAGCTCAATCCAGAAAATGATCAACAATATTTTCCCTTCTTAAAACAGATATTTAAAATATGGGAAACATATTTATTAACAATAAATTAATGAGCTTAATAAAATCTAACTTTTTGTTTTTTTGGAACTGATTTCTTGGTTATAAAAGCGATTGGTTTAGTTTGCAGAAGCTAGTTTTTTTAGTTAACCTTTGATCAAGTTTTTTTTTGTTGTTATAGTTGAAATTCTCAAACATTTGTGCATATTTATTCAAGTATACTATATTACAAAAAAAGCTTAGTGATGTTGGATTAACACAAGAAAAAACATACAAAGTGAGTTTTTTTACAAATATAAGCACAACTCACTGCCTATCAGTTGCCAACTGCTAGAAAATTACACACATACATAAAACTACGTAAATATGTGACACACTCATTGCCATATGTAGACACATTCTATTTTCTTAACTAAAGCAACTGATTCAATTGTATTGTGAAGAAAGACAAGCAAAAATATTTTTTGTGTGAAGAATCATTGTAATTCATTTCTTTCAATTAGAAAGAAAACTAATACTCAATAATAAGAATTTATTTAAATTTGTAGAGCCATGTTGACGATTTAGTTATTTTTTTGTTTATCTTCGCCTTTTCCACTACACACACAGAGACACACACATATATAAATATATATGAATGAATGGATGAATGATCTGGTGTGCTTTACTGCTACAAAAGCATCACAGATCAGCAGGGCCCTATTTTCCCTTTTAAGGAAAGCACACATCCTCACGAAGTTATTTTTCTTGAAATCCCAGTTTCATATCTGGAATGTAAACAAACCAATTGCAAAAGAATTAATGGATTAGTTTTGAATTCAATATTTTTATTACTTCAGATGTTGTTATATTGGATACACATATTTGTAATAGATGCCCCATTTTTATTTTTACTTTAAACAGTGTGTATTATATTTATCAGCCTGTGTACTCGGGAAATCTCAATGAAAATGAAAATATATATATATATATATATATATATATATATATATATATATATATATATTCAAGCATGTTTGGTTGAATAATTTGGACATATATTGATATTAAATTTATTAAAGAAGGTGCCATAGTTTTTTCATTTCTTTTATTTTCCCCAAGTACTGTCAATCTCATCCAAGATTATTTTCAGAGGAGAATTGCTAAGACAAAAAAAGTAAATATATATGTTGGTTTCCTGACAACAACATTATCAAGGAGACTTACATTACATATGTCAGATTATTGCACAATATTTAAAGGAAAATTTCTGTCCACATTCATGATTTAGAGAAATATTAATTAACAATACAAGTATACTCCACCATGAGCATAAAAAAACAAAAACTTCAAATTCTTGAAGCACTCTTTATAAGAAAAATCCAACCAACAATAAATAAGGTTAATTATGAGTATAGCAATAATATTTTAAAATGTTTTAAAATACTTAAATTGTGATTTTAAAAAAATTACAAGTTAAAGTTACCTTCGTTAGATAACAGTTAATTTTCAAATTAACTATAACAGAGCACATTCATATGTGCTTATAATTATAACAGAGTATATATATATAAGATATAAATAAAATATATCTGTAAAAAGACAATATGAATAAAAACCAAAGGACAACATTTCTTTGCCAACCTATTTAGTTTTGATGAACTTTGCTTTATATTTGACTTGATAAAGACATTCAGAGGTTTTGTTTGATCTTGTTTAGTGGCATATCAACCTCTATGCGTTATTTAATCCTGAAATCTACATATTTTGAATGCAATTGCATGCCTTCGACTACAGATAAAATGTATTGCTGGTCATTTTGCTATAAATATACATTGTTGGTCATTTTACTATAAATAGGTATTTTTATACATTCATAGTATTGTTTTTGTCTTGGTGTTTGCTATTAGCCCATAGCTGGCATTCTAAAAGGTGCTACCACTCTGGGTCAGGGTGAACCTGGGAACAACTGCAATTAAAAAGTAATTTCATGTCTTCAAAACTCCCAATCTCCTGATCAGAGGGCTTGCTGCCAGATGTAGTTGATCATCATGCCCAGGACTTCCTTCAGGGGAGAAAACATGTTCATTTTAATATGTTTTACTTTTGTCTTTATTCATATCGTCTTGAAAATTTACACATACACACACACATATATAACATATATATAAATTGGCATATATTTAATAGCCTAAGTCGAAATTGGGTGTATATACATATATATATAAATATATATATATATATATATATATATACACACACACATACATACATATATATATATATATATATATATATATATATTAATGAGTACAGGTGATCCTTAAAAATCCAGTTGGTTATAATTTATTTCATAAACATATAAATATTCATCTCTTCAGAGCAAAGCTGTTTTAATAAACGGGGTCAATTTATCCAGACGAAAGGAAACAGGAGAAGAAAAAAGAAAAAATTTTAATATTAAAGAGAAAGAAAGAAAAATAAAAATTTTCAATATTAGGTTTTAAAAATAATTGTGGTGGGGAGAGAGGAGGAAGAGAGAGAGAAGGAGAGAGTGAGGGGAAAGAAAAGAAAGGAAAGAAGGAAGATTTAAATATGAGCCAATAGGGTGACCAAGAAATGATTTTTTCTTTAAGGACTGAACAAGTTAAGATACAGACTAAGGAAAGGAGTGATCAGATTAAAAATAGATACATTGAATTGTCTGATATTCATGTGATTTTTAATAGTAGAACAATCATCATCGCATTATAATCATCAAAATTTCAAATTAATAATAATAATATTTAGCATCAAGATAATAAAGTAAGTTAAATAAAAAGAAAAAAATTAAAATATATAATAAAATATTATTAAAGTATTTTTAATTAAACAGTATTAATTAAATTTACTGGCCTGAATGATACGTTTTGCGACCAGATATGATTGATTGAGAAAAATTGTTGAGGATTGTGTGTTTATAAAAAGTAATTCGGACTTTGTTAACCAAACACTTCTCTGTAGATAAATGGTAAAGCACATCAGATCAAATGACGGTTTCCATAAAGGAATTCAGGTTCAATTTCTGTTGGAGAATGCATATTTTCTATGAAATTTCTCGAACATTCAGGCCAGTAAATGTAATACTGTTTAATCAAAAGCAGAGCATTTACTTAAATAAATTGTATCTATAAAAATAATGTATAAACAGAAAATATATATATAATGGGTGTTCCAATAACTTGGACCAATTTTAAATGTGAATTAAGTTTAAGCCTATAATGATTTTTTCTTTTTCTTTCAGATTTGGCAGATATTTGGGCAATATTATTTTTTACACATAATTGCCATAACTTAAATAACATGATCCAATAGAAAAATAAATAAATTTACACAATAATACTGATTTATTTACTGCTGACACTGATCTGGCTTAATGAAACACCCTTTATATATGTGCACACGATTTGTGTTTCCTCTTAGTATATTAAATCTAAGACACTTTATGAGGAAAATGTTTTGTTTTTTTTTATTGATTCAAGAGACATGAACTATGTTGTTATTAAGACTTACTTTTCGCCATGGATTTTGCCGTGTATCAAGTTCTTCAATAAATGGTGTGTTCTCCTTGAGAACAGTTAAATTGGCTTTGATATTGAAAAGCTTGTTCCAACTGATATCAAGATACTTCAGTGAAACCAAATTCTGGAAAATTAACAAATAGCATTAAAGAAATCCACAAGTTGTTAAGAAATGGTTTACATATGTATATTTTTACCCCATAATGGTAAATACAAGTGATATTACATATATATAAATACAAGTGATATTACATATATATAAATACATGTGATATTACATATATATAAATACAAGTGATGTTACATATATATTTGTTAGTTATTAATCACTATTTAATTAGAAAAATTAATGACAAAGTGAAAAAGAAAATTTTGTGCAACAAGTTTTGTCCTTTAGGACTTTATCAGACTAAAGTAATATATCTGTTGTTACAATTATATATTTATGAAGGCAGGGGGTGGGGGGGTTATATCAGTCAGTTATGTGACATGCGTGATACACGCTTAGGTGATCATGTATCTTTTGGTACATGACTGACGAAGCAGATTTTTTTCTTGCAGTAGTTTGCTATTTACTCCTGCAGTAGACCAGTTGCCTTCCAAGGCTATAGGACCCGGTCTGTCCTGCTATTTATTCATAGTTGTGGGGTGGAGAAGAAGAGGATTCGTACCTTTCCCAAGGGTATTAGCACGTAAGTGAATGTAATGGATTCAAATGGAATTCAAACTCGGCTCTCTGATTCCTCAATCCGAGCCACTATCCATTACTCCACCATGCCTCCTAATTAGTTTATTATAAAAGCAAAACTGAGTCCAAATAACATCACAAGCAATAAGTACACACTCTTTGACTAGTTCATAGGTATGTGTGTGTGTGTATATATATATATATATATATATATATATATACATATATAAATATAAAACAATGCCATACACCTTGAATGATTTCTCTGTCTAGTCGGTTGAGTTGCAAGAGACTGGTATATATAATAAAAAATGCATTACAGGTTTATTCTCAATAAATATTAAATATTACAAGGAGTTCAGTCAGTTATGTGCCATGCATGATACATGCTTAGGCCATCATGTATCTTTCGATACATTCTGACGAGGCAGATTTTTTTCCTGCAGTAGGTCGTCATTTCCTTTTGCAGTAGACTAGTTATCTTCCAAGGCTATAGAACCTGGTCTGTCCTGCTACCAATAGGTAGTGGGAGTGGCAGAAGAAGAGGATTCATACATTTCCCAAGGGTATTAGCACATAAGTGAATGTAATGGATTCGAATGGAATTCAAACTCGGCCCTCCAATTCCTCAATCCGAGCCACTATCCATTACTCCACCATGCCTCCCGAGGGAGTATATAAAAATGCAAAAAGTGAGTAGTAATTAGGTACAGATAAAAAAATGTGGAAAACTTAAAAGTTTAAATTTTTTTAGGTGTGCCATGGTATATCGTCTAGCCAATTCCGTTTAGTTTTTCCTTTTGTTAATATTTCTATCACCTTTTATTATTGAGTATTGCACATTGTATTAATAGAAGATCTGTCAAGAAAGGTGAAATATTGTAAGGACGTAGACGCAAATTTATGGACTCCGAAAGGATAAAATGCGACACACAAAAAACATTTCCCCACTTTGTCATTAATTTTCCTAACATTTTTTCTGATATATAAAGATTTATATTGATTCTATGATTGTTTCAGTACACCCAAGATTAGACATACAGACAATATAGCTGAATTATGTGTATGGGCCAATATGCATTCAGGTTCCAAAATATGAACATATACTCAGACCCTGTGTTAATATACTGTATATCATTATTTATTAGGTTGGAATAAAAGATGTTTTCATCCTTTAAGAGAATAATTGTTGTAACCTAGAGAAGGTTACTGAATAGAATAATCAAATGAAGGTTGGTAATGAACAATAATACTTAGGACATGAACACCACATATAAGATTTGCCAGCAGCACGTAGAAGTAGTAGTCAAATGCTAGAAGTGAGTCAAGTGAATCCCATAATGAATCTCTAACTGCAGACCAACATACAGTATTTACTACTATGTGAATGGGGACATATCCATTATCGACCATAGGTATGCTACAACAATAATGCAATAATATTTAGATATTGTACATTGATTTAGTCAACCATGTATGTATCATTTCGTTCCACTGCCTTTTTCCATCTTTGAGGTAACTTCATGATTCTATCTTCCCAGGATTTTGCATCTTTCTTACTGATGAACTGGTCTAATTGCTTTTAGGCTTTCAGAGAATTAAAGTCCTCTCCCCCTTAATAAAATATTGTATGAGATTGAAATAAGTGGTAATCCAAAGTTCAGGTGAGTCTTGTAGGTGTAGTAGGATATCCTAAACCAAGATATACCAACTTCTGCTGGATCTGCAAAGAGATATGAAGTCTGGTATTGTCCTGATGGAATATGGCATGTTTCCAATTCACCAATTCTGGAGTTTTTTTATTGACTGCTACCTTTACTAGGACACAATGGGAACAATATGGCACTTGTAAAACCCAATGCCCTTCCATTCCAACTAAATACACAATATCACCTTCAGATGCAGACTAACTTTTGGAGTGGTTTTTCTCTCAACATTGTTGTAAACAATCCATTTTTCATCATCTACAATTGTTCTTTGGGAAAATAGGTAGTTTTTGTTGTGCCTGAGTAGAAAATTGTGGCCCATTAAATACATTTCTGCTAAATCATGGAACATCCAAACATTGCAGATGGGTTTTATTTTTGGCTGGGCCTACGGGCTCGGACATACCCACATTAAAAAGGCCTTGTGCCACATTCAATTCCTGTGGGTGAATTGATAAATACCATTCATGTATCCAAGTTTTTTTCAGATGCCTTACAATATCCATACAAAATGCATGGAGTATCTTTGTGATGACCCATGTCATGTGACCAATATTATTTTTTATCAGCATTTCAATTTAGTCATCATCAGTGACTGCAGGTCCACTGGGACAGTCTCAGTATTCCAGATGAAAATTTCCATTTCTAAGGCTAGCAAAGCACTTACAAACAGTACTCTCAGCTATGGCACCATATCTCTATAGATGGCACATACCTATTTTGCTGTTTATATAGCATTTTTTTTTTGTTCTGGAAATAAAATAGCATCAAATAAAGAAAATGCATCACATTTTCCTCCATTTTCACTTTTAACATAAAAACATTTAAAATTTACAATCCATACAGGAATCATATAGAAAAACACATTGAAATGTTACCTCACACAATGTAATTTTTTTAAAAAAGATTTTTCACTGCATGCAAGGTGATAGCACCACTAAAATGCAAAGGGTTACTGAGAGTAAAAGGAAATGAAAAGACGTTAGCAAGGAGTAAGGACAAAAAGAACAGGATTCAGGAAGACAGAAGATGGCGACTGATGTTACACTTAAATTTTTGAAGATTGTAGATGACAAGGAAGCAAGAAGCCTGTAGAGAGTTCCACAGGTAAGAAGTGCATGAAAAGAAACTATTAGAATAGAACTTACAGTTGCATCTAGCTATTTGAACTGTAAAATGATGAGATCTAGTTGCCAATCTAGTCGCACACTTAAATTCATGCTGTCAAAGGTACCAAAGAGTGAAGTTTATCAAAACAATTACCATGAAAATATTTATAGAAAAGACAGTGGGAAGCCATATTATGACATTTGGAAAATGACTGAAGATGAGATGCCAGGTCAGGACCAATAATATTGCAGACCTTCTTTAAATTTCATTCATTTGTGAAATAAAGTCACGTGTACAAGTACAACCCATTTAAAAAATCGTTGTTTCAACTCAATATATAAGTTCTTACCTTCATGCCTTCTAAAGAGCAGATATTATTGAAACTGGCATCCAAATATGTTAAAGGCTGAAAAAATATATGTATAATTATAAATTAGCAAAAGATTTACAAAGTATTCATGATTGGACAATTTGAAAAAAATATCTAATCTCAGTTAATCTAACATTAATATTTCCACAAGCAATGATACCCAGTGTTGCCTGGATCTAGTCTCTCTAGTTACAGACATTTCTTTGTCTGAGAAATTTCCATAAAATGGTGTTTGCAAAATTTACATACATAATGTAAATATTCATAGTCATTCATTGTGTATAGAGAAGGTAAAAATATAATTTATAATATTTGTTATATTTTCAAAATATATGATTAAAAATTTCAACATTGCTTACTTCACTTATATAATTTGCTTATTTCTCTTTACTCTTCAACTGTGATCTTAATGCTAAGATCATTACCACTTTCATTGTAGACATTTTTTTTTAGTTGAAGAGCAATGCAATTTAATTATAAAAGACAATAAAAAAAATCAGATTATAAATGAGCAGCCAACATTTATTTATAAATGTTCAATTTTTAAAGCTAAATAGACAAATTATTTATTTACATTAAACAAGAATCATTAAGTTGGGCAAGATATAAGGCACGTGCTGTAGATAAAATTGACAAAGAAGTATATAAAAATTAGTTATTTCCATTAAGCAATAATTGTTAACTGGGCAAGATATAAGGCAAATATAAATGAGAGAACTATATTTATTTGATATCACAGTTTTATTTGATATTTGCTCATGTGTACGCATGGAGAAAGAATCAACGACTTATATCATCATAATATTTTTTCTATTTCTACTCATGGCAAATTGTGAACATATTCCGTTTCTTAAGAACTTTTTCCATTGTAAGTTATTGATGCATCCCCGTGAGTATCCCAGATTGCTTGGAGATGTGTATTTTTATCAAGACACCATCTCTAGATAGACTGTCAACCAAGACTAAAGAGCTTCTATCTGCCTATTAGATGAGGACTTGTCAGTGTATACTAGCACAAACATTAGTGGCTCCTGAACAGTTTTGTCTACCTGATTTCACTCACATGGCTTCAGCCTACCTGTGGTTTTATTTTCAGGTACTTCCAAATGGTGCCATGGGATAGGATCATCCCCAAAGGCTGATAAGAAGTCCTTTCATGGATAAATCGATCATGGTGAGATGTGAACCAGAGTCTCAAGGTCAGAGCACTAATACTCTAACCCCTGAGCCATGCACCCAACTTTAGACAGTGTTCGATGGATAAATTGTTATCTAAATGACACAAAAATAAAAATAACACTGACATCTCATTTTAACAGATATATTTACCAAAATAACACAAAAATATCTAAAGAGTAAATTTATTCAATAAAATTGCCAAAAATTTATTCAATAAAATATGGCCTCCAGACAACTTTGGAATCTCCTGCAACTCTTCTGGACAGTCTCTTTGTTTAAGTTAGTGAATGTTAGCATAATCCTTGCCTTCAGTTCATTTTTAGTGTTACTAAAAGTTTGTTGGTCTCTCTCTCAACTGTGCCCTACACATAATAATCAAGGTGGTTGTAGTCTATGGAGTTAGGTGTCCAGATGTTAAGGGGTGATGTGGTTGCAGAAATTGTCTGGCAGCCATAACTTGGTTCTCCTGCTTGTGTGGCATGATGTAGAGTCCTGTTGCCAGACATAGGGTCTTCCAGCAGCCACTCACTTGACCCAGAGCAGCAATCCCTTCTCAAATCACTTGATGTACGCCTTCATGTAGAGTCTGAGGCCCTGTGGGAAGATTAATGTAGGAATAATGTCACCATCACTAGTGATCACTCCAAACACCTTCATAATCACCATTAGACTCATCCAACTCTTTCCATATCCTCTGCAATGTTCTCAGATTGACACTCAAACACTGAAATGTTCAGATTGGAGCTTCTGGTGTGAATGCCAAGCATTACAGCATGTCATTTGCAAATTTCTTTTTTCTCACAGACGGTGCCCAACTGACCCTACTATACTATGCAGTTGACAAAATAAAAAACAAACAATGCACATTTAAAAATATAAAAATGGCGATAATTTACCCATCACACCCTGCAGATGAACAATTCAACTAGAAAAATTGAAAGTAAATACACTGTATATAAGTACAAATTAGAGACATGTCATGATGGATTATTCCGTCTTAAATAAATTAACAATGTTTTGTGGACTCCTCAAGGCACTTGATGTAGTCTGAGGAATAATGTTGCCATCACGAGTGATCACTCCAAACACTTTCGTAATCTCCATTAGACTGATCCAATTCTTTCCAAATGCTCTGCACTGTTCTCAGATTGTCACCCAAACACTCTGAGATATCTGTATTGGAGCTTCCAGCACGAATGCCAAGCATTACAGCATGGCATTTCCAAATTTCTGGCAGAGTGAATTACGTCATGGTGTTCTTTTTTTCACAGACGGTGCCCAACTGACCCTACTATACTGTGCAGTCAACAAAATTAAAAACAATGTGCATTAAAAATATAAAATGGCAAAAATTTCCTCATCGCACACTGTACAAAAAAGCAGGATAATAATATAGATTATTGGAGAGATTTATGGAATAATACAGTAATTCCATCTACATTTTACGTGCGTGCGAGTTTTCCTCCCTTTCTTCCACACTTGTGTATGCATCCACTGATTACACCCCTTCCTCTCTCGTTAAGCTAAACATAGCAGTAAGCCATTTCTTTTTTTAACTAGAGTAAGTTATGTCAATGACCAGCTCCTGCTGATAAATATCACCAGTCTAATAGATTTAAATTACCGTTTTTCCCGCGTTTTCTCTGACGTCATGGACAAACGAATCGTTCGAATCCAGTCGGGCTAAAAACTTTGATTCAACAAGTTGACTCATTTATCCCTCGTCAGTTAACCATGATACAGACAGAGATATCTTATCGGAAAATAATTCTTCGTCCCTTTTGGTTCGACATTTTCACCAAGACGATGCAACTAACTACAAATAATTTTTTGTCCTTTTGGCTAGACGTCCGCACCAACCTGATAAAAATTTTCAGCAGTTAATTCAATGTCCTTAAGTTAACGACTTGTTACATTTCCCTTTTGTCTTTCGACCAAAAACTCTGAGACGACTGAACATTCAAACTACCTTGAACCTGAACATAAAAAAAATATCACATACACTCACAATACCAAAATCCACAGTGAGTACTTTTTCTATATGTGCACACCTATACCTCGTGTTAACGAGTCCTTTTTCCAGAACCTTCTTTCATTCTGATGAAACTTTTTCCCGCCTTGTCCATCTTGCTTTCCTGTTTTGGTGTGGAACATTTTCTCTGATCTCGAATGACGAGACAACCTACTTGTTTCAATTTAATAAAAGTTTCATATATGTTTTTCAATCAGACGCCTTTGTCATTCTATTCAGGCTATCTTTTTGATATTTATAATTTATGCACTTGTTGATTGACCCCTTATCCTTCTCTGTTCGTTCACGCAATATATTTCTACTTTACTTGTGGATTCGGTAGTTTTGTGTAGTGTCTGGCACAAGGCCACTTTTCTATAAACCAGCACTGCACGCTACCGGGTCTGCAACAGATTGGCCATGATAATTTTAATTTTTTTCTATCTCTCGGTCAAAGAGAAGAAAAAAAAAGAAGATCCTCTACTTACCATTTTATCCAAGTTGAGTTTCGTCAGTAGATTGAAACTTACTTCCAGTCTATTTAATGAATACATTGCTGTCAATAACGGAAGATCTTCCAATTTCTGATGACTAAGATTGAGATGGGTGATCAGTTCGGGAATGGGAGTGTTATGGATTACAGCCATTATGTTGGTGTCTCTGTTGGACAAAAAGGAAGTGAAAATAAGCATTAGTGCCAAATTTAAAAAACAGGTTCTTCAGCAAAGAAACTATGAGAAAGCTATCAAATACAAAATTTTTGTTTTTGAATAATATAAAACAAAACAAACTGTTCCATTCATTTCTTGTGATAAATGCACGGCACATCAAATAAAAAGATTGACTAATGGGCTTGTATTGTGCAGGTTAAAGTCAATCTTAAAGATTTAACAAGCACATATGTGATCACAGGAAACCCTTTTATAATACTGAAGAACATAAAAAAGCTAATTTCTTTTATTCTTTTCAAGGCGATGTAACAAATAAAAGATGAATTGAATTAAAATTCTACATAATATAGTTAGTGATGAGAGAGAAGGAAACTTTTTTACATTGCTGGGTTCTGTATAAAAGAAGATTTTTATTACTGTATGTCTGGATTTGTATTATAGTATGTCTGAGCCCTTTCGGCTATATTTTAGCCATTATCAAATAAAAATTTCCTATAACTCTAGATAACTGTCTATATTTCTGAGATGAAGTATTATGTACACTATTTACATTATTCGAACTATTGTCCTCATCTTTGTCACCATATTTATTACAACATTTCGGCCGTTGTACGCTCCGGCCTTCTTCAGGTGGTTGGAATGTCGACCTGAACCCTTTATTTCGTTCACTGGGGGAGACTGTTCCACGTGCCATGTCTAATTGATATCAGTTATCAGTTATCTCCTGTTAATTCCCCTCTGAAAGTTCTCCACTGCCTTAACCGGGTATTGAACTCGCACTCTTTGGGTCCTGTCACTGGATCTAACTAACAACTTTCAGAGAGGAATTAACAGGAGATAAATGATAACTGACGTCCATTAAACATGGCATGTGGAACTAGAACAGTCTACCCCAGTGAGCTAAATAAAGGGTTCGATTCGACATTCCAACCACCTGAAGATGGTCGGAGCATACAACAGCTGAAACGTAATAAATATGTTGACAAAGATGAGGACAATAGTCCAAATAATGTAAATAGTGAACTCTAGATACATACATAAAAAAAAATCCATACATTCAGTTAAAAGTAAAAATAACATCATCCTTGATAATATCTAAATATATAGCTGAAAGCACTTGGGCATACAGAACATTTGGAGAACTTTTCCATAATTTTATGTCTAGAAAATAAAAAAAAATTGCAGGAACACAAAAAATTAATTAAAAAACTTAATTGCAGTACCTTGTCAGTTGTTTTTAATGAAACTTAGATAAAAGAGGGATTGCTGCCCAAATACACAATTATATATACATATATATATATATATATATTTAAAAAACACTAAAATACAATTTACTTTACTACCCGGGTTTCAAACGTAAGGTCTCCTCAGGCAAGCAGAACAAAAAATTCAGTGGGTTCCACCATTATATATGGACACCGGAAAGTAGGAAGAAAGGGACAAAAAAAGTGGAGGAGGAGGAGGTGGAATGAAGAAAAAAAAATTGTGTTCATCCAGGTTCATACATATACAAAAAATACTTAAATGCCTGCATTTAGATAACACCCCAGATCTTTCATTAAACAACACATCCTTGTTAGGATATGTAGCAATATCCAATTTTTCCTCCTGACACAATCTGGGTTAACCTTTCTTAATACTCCACTTTATAAAAGAATCTCTGCCATTTGTTTCTTTCAATCTCCAAACACAATCTGCTAGCTTGGTGTCATTCCTAAGACTCTCAAGTCTAAAGGAGGTGTTATGATTATAAAACCTCTTCTTGAATGGATTTTCGGTACAACCAAGATATGTCTTTAAAAAGGCTGGTGTCACTGACCTCCACTGAATAAACAACTCCCTCTGCTTGACACTCACCACCTAAACAACAATTATTCTTGTTCCTGCAGTTGCACGGCTTTGTCCTTACTTCATTACCTCTTTCCGCTTCTAATAATTTAAGATTGTGGCTTTTTACAATGTTTAACGTGTTTTGTGTACAGCTGTAACTCAGTTTAAATGTATTTCTGTTAAACATCTTTGCTCATGGAGATTATATATATATATATATATATATATATATATATATATATATATATATATATAAATGTATTTGATTTCTAAAATTAAAATATTTGAAGTGACTACATGAAATGCAATAAGGATCAACACATGAAATATGATATTTAAAAGTTAGACTGATAACATAGCAAAAAATAAATGTCTTTTGAAATGGTTAGTGCCGTTAGGCAAAAGTATTTACATATGGGAAATTTCATATTCCAATACCAATCGGAAATCAGAAAAAAAATTACAATTATGTTGAAAGGATAAATAAAAAAAATAATAACCAAAATGGTTTTAATGAAATGTGCATAAACATGTTTGTCTGTGACACTCAGAGCCAAAAGATAGAAGAAAAAGAAGAAGAAAAAGGAATAATGAAAGAGTATAAGGAGACAAAGAAATTACAAAAAGAAGAAATAACTACAATATTCTATGCAGGTGCACATACACAAACATACAGACATACACACGCACAACTATACATATACACAAAAAAGAAAAAAAATCAACCTAACAACAAATTATTTATTTGACTTAATATAAAAATAAGGAAAATGAGAAAATCAGCAGACAATTGCTGATACCTCCTGATGAGCGGACTGAACAATTACACAAAGGATCCTCTACAAAACTCTTGAGTTGGTGTGCTGAATTTAATATCAGTCAGCTAAGCAACAAATTTTTAGATTTGTATTAATCATATATATATATATATATATATATGATGATGGACTCTCCCGTTGTTTTCAATGTATGAGTGCCTTTCAGTTCAGTTTTTTATGCTTATGCTTCGTATGAAACAACAATCCTGCACAGGATTTGCAAACAAATCCACACAAAAGGCATACTGAAGGGTTGACCGTCATATAGGCTGATGATACAGGGTGATTGAAAAGTAACTCCCTATTTTATGCATGAATGGCTAGCCAGGTATCCTGTGATTTTTTGTGAAGTTAGTAAAAGGAGCAAATCTACTATACTAAACCAAGACTTTGGAAGAACTTGAAGGGTGAATACAAAAACTTATGTCTTCCATACTACAAGAGTTCCTGGTGAAATCAATTGATGTGATTCCTGGGTGGGTCGAGAAGCTGGTAGCTAAATCTGGTGCCCATATCAAATTTTAAATAAAACCTCATGCTAAATGCTTTCCTCTCATAACCATTTCTTGTAAAAATTATAGTTAATAAATTAATTATAAGTATTTTAAAATGAAGCGTTACTTTTCAATCACCCTGAGTTACTTTTTAATACACACAGATATATATATATATATATATATATATATATATATATATATATATATATATATAAAACTTGGACCGAAATTAATGTAAACTAAGTTTAAGCATCTAATCATTTTTTCCTTTTTCTTTCAGATTTGGCAGATATTTGCACAATATTATTTTTCACACATAATTGCAATGACTTAAATAACATGATCCAATAGAGAAATAAATAAATATTCACCTGTAACACTGATTTATTTACTGCTGACTATATAACCCGTCTTAATGAAACACCGTTTATATATATATATATATATATATATATATATATATATATATATATACACACACACACACACTTTACTTACTTTCACCCCTAACGATGGCTCAGTTATGTTGAAAGCTTGGAACTAATACAAATTTAGGCTCTTTCTTACATCTACAACAGCTACATATAAAAAAAGTTATTCATATATTAAAAAAAATAATCAATAAATGTAATAGACATAAAACGTCAATTCTTTTTAACGTCAACATCTGATATACCCTGAGGAATGGATGGAGATTGCTGGAGGTTCCATCAATGAAACTCTGCAGTCGGAATGCTGAAGGTAGCAATAATCAGCTAAGTGACAAACTTTATATTTGCATTAATTATATATATATATATATATATATATGGGATAATGATATATAAATTTTTATATATCAAGAACAGTTTTGGAGGAAAGGTGGAAAAAGTTTTCATATAACGCATTTTGTCCCTTAGGACTTCATCAGAATGTGTGCATGAATGAGAAACACTGGGAATTTTAAATTTAGAAAAAAGGAGAGTGTACTGTTCTATAGTTGCAGCATATGGACCCTCACAAAAATAGGAATTCTCACTTGACAGATCCTATACATAAATGTATCTTGGAAAGACCATGTCACCAATACAGTTCCATATTGCTCTCTCTCTCTCTCTCATCACATCAATGTTCAGAGAATGATGACTGGGGAAGACAGGTTCACTCATTTATTGATTTGCTTATACAAATATATTGGTCTACATACAGAACTAATATGAAAGATTGAGAATATCTGTTTCTATATTTTTGAGATCAGGTATTGCAATTATTTACACTATTTACATTGTTCAGACCCTTGTCCTCATCTTTATTGCCATATTCATGACATTTTAACCATTGTAGGCTCCAAACCCTTCATTTTGTCCACTGGTTCCACATGACATGCCTCTTCCAGATATCTCCATATCAGTTATATCCCTTTAACTCAACACTCCAAATTATTGTTCACCTCTGCTGTAGCCAGGTATTGAACTCACAACTCTTTGGATTACTGGATTACTTCAACCAATGCTTTTAACGACTGGGCCATGAATTTTGGGGACTTATAAATCTAATATCTCAGTAAACATTTTTTAACAGAGCTACAATTTATTGTTATTATTATTTTTCTCTCACACTTCATATTACTGGTTTCCATCTTGTATTTGTAGTGATAAGTAAATGAGGTGCTGTATAAAAAGCAGTATCGCTATACCTGTGGAAGAGTTATCTTCTCTTGACAGGATTACATCTGTCAGAGAGGATACCTATCATAATAATATGGTGTTGCCAATAGGATACTTAACCATGATGGAGGATCCTGAATATATTAAAACCTGGCTTCGGTGTTTCACAGTATCGGCAAGAGTGAAAAAGTTAAA